ATCCAATACATCACTTTTGTATACATGAGTTTCAACTTTATATTTTATATGTTATATATTATTACAATATTTATTTTAAATTGTCATAAACATTTTCAATGTTTCTAATACATTGTTTCTTTTTAGGTAAAAGAGTTATATTAATTGGGGATAAAAATCTAGCTGATACAATTAAAAATATTTTGCTCTTGTAAGTAATTAGCAAAAGATTGAATTTTAACACTTATGACTGACAGTACAGCATTTATCTTCTTTTTTATATATGTAGACTGCCAACAGACACTATTTTGTCAGAATACAGCATGAATTGTCTAAAGAAGAAAAAAAAGTTTAAAGAGTTGACAAGTCTATGCTACGCTGTCACTGGTATTCTTATTAGCTTATTAATGTGTTTGATTAATTAAAAATTAAAAATGTTTTAATTTAAAAAAAATTAATTTCTTTGGCTATAGAACATGACATGTATTCAAGTGTATGTATACATGACATGTATTTTTTTTAATAATCTTTTTGAAACATGTTTTGTTGTTTTTATTAAAAGCTGCTTTAAAGTCAAATAAAAACTTAACCAAAATGGATGCCATCCAACTTACTGGGAAAGTAATTAGGCATTCTTCTGACCGAATAAAGAGAACATCCACTAATATGGATTTCGATCAATTATGGCTTAATTAACTGTTGTATTTTTTTTTAAGCAATTTTCTTCTATTTATAATGCACTATCGATTATATTCTACAGTACCTATTAGTTTTTAATTTGAAAAATGTAACTTTGTTTGAAAAATTATTCTTATTTTTTGTAAAGTTATTAACTTATTTTAAATATATCAAATTACACTTTATTTACATTGATTTTTTTTTATAACTTTTTTGCCTAGATTAAGGCAAATCTAAGGTTTGTGTTGTAAATCATTGCATTTTTATATATTTTTTAAAAGAATGTCTTGGTAAAATTCAAACGTCTCTAGGACGTCTGAAAAAGACGTCCTTAAGTCTTAAAAATTAGACCAGCCAGAGATGTCTCTAGAACGTCAAAAAACGTCTCTAAGACAACTTAAAAAGACGTCTTTAGGACGTCTGGAATAGACGTCCTCAAGCCTTTCATTTGAGACCAACTAAGGATGTCTTACAGACGAGACTTAAGACGTCTTACGGACGTCCTTAGGACGTCAAAATGCCCGCTGGGTAGTATTAGTTTTTCTACTTATTTCTAAGGTTTTAGCGACGTCAATAGGACGTCTAAATATTGAAGTCCTGATATCGTCTTTATATTAACGTCACAAGGACGTCGTAACAAAGACGTCTTTACCAGACGTCTTTAGGATGTCTTAATTTGGTCTGAGACGTCGCGACCTAGTTAAGACGTTCGTAAGACGTTTGATTGACGTCTTTGCCCGCTGGGTAAGAGGTTCGAGGTTTGACGCCGTCTCTAACCCAATAAACAATATAAGTAAGGAAGGAGGCGTGAACATTTTTTCAGATTGTGTTACTTCACTTTTTTTGAAAGTCTTTATTGTTTCAATGAAAACTATTTTTTTGAACTATTGCCCAAAAATCTTCCATCTTGCGCTCTTTTGGACGGTGGGGAAATTTGTATCTTTAGAAAAATATTATTCATTATTACCTTTGATACTAAAAAGGTATAAATAGGAAAACCTTCTTAGAGTAGTAAATAGCAGCTCAAAAAAGCCAAAAGTGAGATCATCATTCGTATTTTTTTATATATATCAAAATACTTTTATGAAATATTTTTTGATTTAGAGATTGACAGTCATAGTTTTCTTCATGATAAGAAGACTTCATACAACGGCTGAGAATTGCTTGACACACAAGGAACTTAGATGCAAATTTCCTACTCAAATATATTTAAATTGATATTTCTTTGTTTCATTATTTTTTTTATAGTATTTTCATATTCATATTCTTTGTTTTTATAGTAAAATTGTTGACCAAGAAAAATTTTAATATGTTTCGTCGTCTTCAGTTATGCACGTATTTTTATCCGTTATTATTTTTGCCAACTACTTTACGCAACAAATTTCTTTAATTTTTATACCTAACCTTTTCTAAGCAACTTTTTCGTATGAAATACATTAATTCCAGTATTATTTTAAGCACTTTTTGGACATAAGCACGTGAAGTTTTGAATTTTCTATCTAGATCTCTCTGTGAATAGTTCGGCTTTCTTTCTTGCTCTCTGAGAATCAATTTACTTTATTAGGTTAATGGAAAACTTTCTTTTTTCAAATTACGGGGTTCCTTTTTGATGTTTTGAGTAGTTTTAAGTTTATTTTTATTATTTATGACTGTAGATTTTGGTACAGTTTTATGTTTAGCGTTTATAGGACGTCAATATATATTTTAAAGTCAATATATATTTTAAAGTCAATATATATTTTAAAGTCAATATATATTTTAAAGTCAATATATATTTTAAAGTCAATATATATTGGCTAAAACGTTTCTAAACTTCTTTTTACATTTTAATTTATTTTTCGCAACATTTCAATCATTCATTTCATTCATTTATTTTGCAAATTTTTGATAAGTAGAAAAAAGTTTACTAACAAAATTAAAGATAAGGAAGTAACTTTTAATTTAAAAAAAGTTTGAAACAAAAAGCTTTTAGAGAAATCATAGTTTGAACTTGATTGGATTTTTCCGTGTCCGTCCGATAAGATAAAAATGTTTTGCTTATTGTGTTAACATATCTTTAAAGCTTATAAAAAACTTGCATCAAAAGTTATTAAAATTTGTTTCTTAGCATATAATAGTTATTTTTTTTATACTTTTTATAATTGGAGCCCAACAATAAATACTTTTCTCTGAGCACCTTTTATTGTTGGGCTAACCGTATTCTGCGTTAGTTTGTGGAAATACAATTGGTTTGCATTTGGGATAAATTTATTTTGCATTATTTGGCATTAAAATATGTAGATGTAAAACATTAAAATTTTAGTTAGATAAACCACATTTTGCATTTATTAGTACAACAGTACTTAATATCCGATTGCAACAACCCTAATTTGTATTATCATCAAACAGGTTTAGTTCTGGTTCAAAACCAAAAGATCCAAAGTTTGATGCCAGCTCTTGCCAGATAAAGAATATTGGTAAGAAAGGAGGCATGAACTTCCTAATTAAATACTTTTTCCTGCGGTGTTCTGTGATAAGATTGTAAGGACTTCTCGGAGCACCTTAACAACTGTTTTCAAAAAGTTCATTATCACAAATAATCATGTAGCAGCTTTTACTATTAGAGCTAAAAATTTTGTAGAATTTAATAAATAATAAAAATCCCATCCATCAATCAATTATTAAAAAAAACAATTATGGAATGCTAATTGAAACCAATAGTGACAAAATAAAACGCTTGTGTATATATTTTGCTAATGTTAGATCAATGAAGAGTCATTCATATGTCAATCATGAAACCACATAAGGCCGAACATCCACAACTTAATTCTAACAATACCCAGCGGGCATTTTTTTTTTAAAGTTACGTTCTAAATGTATTTTAAATGTCTTTTAAACGTTTTATAAACATTCAATTTAATATTTGGCTCAAAAATAAAAAATTGGGTTAACCAAATTAAATTGCGCTGCTAGGGTAACTAGTTTGACTCTCTGAGTTACAACTCTTTTTTGTGAGAAATTTGTTTTGGGTGTAAAATAAATTCAGTAGAAATTGTGAAGTATAAAAGGCTAATTTAGACTTATAGTGGCCCAATTAAAATTAACCTGATATGCAGCTACTTATATGAAAAAGATAAAGCTATTTTAGACCAACGTGACACCTCTAACTTAATACTGACAGTGGCCGCTAATCTAGTAAAATACTCATTATGTCAACATTAGTCTATAGGCTGCCAACCATATACTAATAAAACGCCAAAATACGACCAACTATAATGCTTTTTAAGCTAACAATTTTTTTGCTAATTTGATCGCTGATATTTATTATTACATTATTACAGATTTATCAACGAATATTCATTATTACTGAAGCTTATATTTATTTATATTAATTTCAGTCAAAGTCATAAGAATTTATCTAAACTAAAAGAAGGTAAATGATTTTATATGGAGATTTCTTATTTAATACCTGAGTAGCACAATTTAGTCGGCCTAACGTTGGCTCAATGTATTTTTTGTTGTTAGGCCAACAAGTTATAATTGGTCCTAGGTTAGCGTTGCATAAACATATGGTTGTCTGCTTATTGGTCCATCTTTACCATTGTGCAAATTTCATTAGGTTGACATTATGTTGAGCATTATTAGTCATAGACGTTAAACATGTAGTTCTAGAAAGTATATTGACTAAATTTAGACTAATTTAGCGATGGGCTAACGTTAGTTTAACTTTTCACTTTATACTTTTGCAAGTTGTCATGCAAGAAGGTCAAGCTAGTTGGTCAATAGAAAAATAACTGATTACTAACTATTCGACCTGATATTGTGGTTTATTCTCGACCAGCTAATTTACTGACAACGTCAAAATTCCAAGATCATCAGAAGTCAGGTTTAACTAGAGCTTCATAACTAGCAACCCCTTACCTCTGTGGGTAAAAAAGTGATAAAAATTAAAAAGAAAAAAGTAAACAGTTTGAAAAACTGAATAAAAGAGCTCAAAAGAAGGCTATAGTATGTTTACTATATTTATAATAGAATATACTTTAAGCTGTGTTAGTATTAATAAATCTTATTCATGCAATATTATTGAAACTAAAATTTACTATGTTTTCAGTATACAAAGTGCTATAAAAATTATTGCAGTGCAACATGTTTTTATATACAACTCACTTGCCACTCATATATTAACTTGAAACCAATCATATCTGCTTGTTGGGCAAAAATGAAGTTAGTCTAGAGTAGAATGTGGTTAACCCAACAATACAGAATGCTTGGGAAATATTATTCACAATTTCTATTTCATTTTCCATTTAGATTTATATACGATAAGTTTAAAAGAACTAAGAACTCGAATTTAATTACTTTAGGTTTCAGAATTATACAACGGATACGAAGAATTTAAAGGATGTAAGGTTGTTGGTATGAACCGTGTTAAAAAGTAAGGAATTTACTTTTCATAAGTATAAAAGAGTAAAAAAGCATAAGTCATAACTTTTATTTCTATTTTCTACTCTTATGTTAATATTTCCGGTAATAATGCGTGTAATGATGTTTAATACAGTGTTGTATAAGTAAGAGCAATTAGTTTAGCGAAAAACTAAATAAATATTTAGATATATTTAATAACATTACTTAAGTTTCACACAACAACGATCATCAGATGTTATGACCATAACAAAAAAACGTAGCGACAAAAAATTGTCAACGTTAGAATAAACGTAGAAAAAATATTTTGGGGTATAATTTATAAATGTTTTCTTAAAGGTCGCAAATTTCATAAATCTTTAAACTGGAACAACTTAAAAGTTAGCTATAGATTCCTTCCAAGCATCAAGAATATTATCACTTCTCATAATAAGAATACACTAATACTGCTGAATATACCAATCAGTTATGCAATTCACGACAAACCACTTCATGCCCTCTCAAAGAAAAATGTCTTAGAAAAAACCTCTACAATGTAATGTAAAAACCAAAAAGAAGGATATTGTTACATAGGATTTACTGAGAAAAATCTCAAAGGTAGATGATACAAGCATAAAAACTCTTTTTTTTATGAAAATAAGGCCAACTCCACTTAACTTTCGAAAATTTTATGGAAATGCAAAAATAAGGGTTTGGAGACTATACTAATTCTTGACCAAGCGGAACTATTTAAGCCTGGTGGTACAGGACTGACAACATGGAGGTGTTGGGGGACGTGGCCAATTCCTCACCTTTTTTTTAAAAAAAAAAAATCAAGATATTGAGGACTTTTTTTTAGAAATTGACGATTGTGTCCCTCCACTTCGAAACCCATGTCTTTGGCCAAGTGATAAATCTTGCAATTTATGCTTAACAGAAAAATACCATGTTATTACATAATTATTAAATTTTATGTATGCTCTTTAAAGAAACAAGCGTTAAAGAATATACTTAAAAATTAAAAACTTTAATGTCGTATGACATTACGTAAAAACGTAACGACAACTTTAAACAAAAAATGCTATAGAATTTCCGCTTTGATGATCATCAAAGCGGAAACTCTATTGCATTTTTTGTATATAACTGTCGTTACATTTTTTGTTATGATTTTATGATCTGATGATTTTTTTGCATGAAACTTTAGTTTTTGTTATTAAAATTAACTAACTAGTTATTTAGTTTTTACAATATATATATATATATATATATATATATATATATATATATATATATATATATATATATATATATATATTATTATTATTATTATTATTATTATTATTATTATTATTATTATTATTATTATTATTATTATTATTATTATTATTATTATTATTATTATTATTATTGTTATTTATGTATTTTTAGTTCTTTGAGCAATTATTTATTTGTTTGAGGTTACAATTTTTTATCATTTTTCACTTTAAGATTTGTTTTTGTTTATTAGCGCATAGTATATGTTATATATATTAGAGATTATATAGCTCATAAACTTTTTGTGCAACTTTAACTTAAAACATTATTTTTGCAACTTTAAATTTTTTAACTAGTAACAGGAATACTAGTTAAGAAAATAATAGTTGCAAAAATTTATTTATAAGAATAGACGTAAAAAGTTTTTGTTCAAAGAAGAGGTGAAATAAAATTTAATGGATAAAGTTTTTATTAATTTTTTTTTATTTTTATTAATTTGATGTTAATAATGTTTATAATTAATTTAATGTTGATATTGGAAGAGATAACATGACATCTGTGGAAATGGAAATATATTTTACTGAACGCGGAGGTAGTCATTTAAAACCTTTACAGCAACAGTTAGCAACCGGCAAACTAGGAGACAAGCAAACCGAAAAAGAAATAGAAATTGGCAAGTTTATTTAATATACTTCCACAACTATTATTTTTTTAAAATCTGATCATTCTATGTTTTTCTTTTTTAAACCTATTTGTTCGTTTTTCCAATTTGGTTTAATAAACAAATTTTGCTTCTAAATTATTTTTCAATATTTTAGCGTTACTAAATGATGGGATCACGGATATAAATTGGTGTCTTCCGCCATGTTTGAATGCGTATCAATGTTACCCGAATTGCGAAAAGAAATGTTGCGAACTTTCTAAATTTAAAATTAATTTTAACAGACAGCTAGATACAAACCAATATAATTGGCATCCAGCTGTAAATCCATATAGTAGATATCCAACAATAAATCCTTTTGTTTATTCAACCAAAAATTCATTTGATAGATATATAGTTGAAAAACAAAATGCTGGATATCCAACGATAAAACCATATGGTGGGTATCCAAGCATAAATAGTTTTTTGAAATATAGTGATATGACAATAAATAACCTACCTACAAGTATACAATTACAAAAAAATGAGTACGAAAAACTACCATACTCCTCAACAAATGTCGAAGACAACAATTTTAACTCCAAAAAATTGAATCCCGTTTATGTTATCTACAAATATATACCCATAAATGTTGATGGATCCGTTTACCCAATCAATAAATACGAAACTAATGTTGCTGGGAGCATGTATCCAAATGATAAATACCAATCTAGTTTAGAAATGGAAAACCAACCAATGTTCTGTGATCCGTTGTGTAAATACAAGTGTTTACCAGCGTGCCATAAAATATGTTGTACAACTAAATAGAAGAAATTAAAAATCTGTTCATTATTGAAATATCTAATCACTATTGTTTATTATAAATTCAAAAATAATTACTTTAAATACAAGTGCGTGTAAATTCACTTCCATGAAGTTATCAGGTTGTCTTTCACACCGAAGAAGCTCTCGGGTTGTTTTTCATACCAAAGAAGTTTTCAAGTTTTCTATTATAAATTTTAATTTTAAAATTAAAAAATATATATTATCAACTTAATTTGAAAAAAAATTTAGTTTCAACGTAAAAATTTTTTTTAAAGGTTTTTCGCATATAAACTACTCAATTGATTAATTTCTACTTTGAGAATGAGAATTTTAAAAAATAATATTATAAATTAAAAACAATTTATGTTGTTTTATTAAATTTATGAAAAAAGAAAAAGCATATAAAAAAGTTGAGGCAACAACAAAAAGTCGTATTTTATTAAAATATTTTTAATAAAATGCAATAAAGAATAAATTAGTAAGAATAATAACAATAACTAGTTCCTGATCCGCCAACTCGATGAACCGACTCTCAAACCAAATTCTTCAAACATTCTATCATAAATAATTTTTTTTCTCAAAAAATATTGATCTTTTAAAACAATTTTACTTTCCAAATTTTTATTTCAATTCTAATTTCCAATTTTATTTTAATTGAAATATGCAAAATAAATTCAAAAAACCTAATCCAAGCAGTGGTGATTCACCACTGGTGAAATACCATAGCATAATACCTGCCCATCTGTAACAAATCTTTCCATAAGGATTTTTAGATCGCTCATCACGTTAGGTACAGCGTGATAAATCGGTGGGAAATCGGCTAGCGAATAGCTAGCGATATTCGTTACGATTAAGACAGCGATTTGGCCACGAGGATCGTTAGCTTTATAAGCTAGCGATCCGCTAGCTAAACAAGCTAGCGAATAGGTAGCGATATTCGTTACGATTAAGACAGCGATTTGGCCACGAGGATCGTTAGCTTTATAAGCTAGCGATCCGCTAGCTAAACAAGCTAGCGAATAGCTAGCGATATTCGTTACGATTAAGACAGCGATTTGGCCACGAGGATCGTTAGCTTTATAAGCTAGCGATCCGCTAGCTAAACAAGCTAGCGAATAGCTAGTGATATTCGTTACGATAAAGACAGCGATATGGCCACGAGGATCGCTAGCTAAATAAGCTAGCGAATAGCTAGCACTAAGTCGTTACGATTAAGACAGCGATTTGGCCACGAGGATCGCTAGCTTTATAGGCTAGCGATCCGTTAGCTAAACAAGTTAGCGACAAGTCGTTACGATAAAGACAGCGGTATGGCCACGAGGATTGCTAGCTAAATAAGCTAACGAATAGCTAGCATTAAGTCGTTACGACAATGACATCGATTTGGCTAGAAAATCTCGGCTAGGTTAGAAGATATGCTCAAAGAATCGCGTGCTATATTTTTCAGGGGAGTGAATTATAACCATTAAAATAAGATTGCATTTATAACAAGTTAAATACAAAATGTTAATACTTGTTTCCATAAAAAGTTATAAATGTTAAAGCCATTATAAAATGTTAAAAGAAAAGTTATAGATTACTTTTGAAAAATAGAAAGTCATTAACAACTAAATGATTTTGCCTAAATTAAATTAATAATTTTAAAAGATATTTAAAAAGATAATAGAATAAAATTTCTGTCAAATTTTAGTTTTTTTTTAAATCTTTATCAATTTTCGAAAATAATTGCTAAAAAAGTTGTAACAAATAAAATATCTAAAAAAAAATAAGTCAATAAAAAATAATAGAACAAATAAACAAAAAAAATAAGTTAACTGGAATCACTACATGAGTCAGTGTTTAAATTTCTTTTTTTTCTAACAGGACTGTGTATTTGTATATCACTTGTTAAAGAAGAACTTCTCTTTCTTGCAGCAAAATAACAATCTTTAGACTTTTTCAAGTGTTTCGCAATTATTGTAGTCATACTGGATTCAGTGGCAGTTGGAAATAAACAGTAAGCTGCATCAAAAATCAAACTTTCGACTGGTCCTATAAACCTACGCTTTTTATCTGCACCAGTTCGATTAATGCTGCATCACAGCTTGTCTGTTAAACAAGTTTTTAAAGCATTTTTTAAAAAGTCACTTACATTTCTCCCATCAATTTGCTTTAACTTTCTGCAAATGATATCTTTATCATTAGAGTTAATTATTTTATTTTCTAGTGAGTCAAACTCTTCAACTAAATTAGCTGGTAAATAATCTATATCAGGCCTTGTTTTAAAGCGTTACGCCTTGAGCGATTTACGTACGCCTTAAGCGCTTTTTACGTACGCGTAGAGCTGTTTTGGTTAAGCTACTTTTTATCATTTTTTAACTTTTAAATTAGCGGTAACATAAAAGAAGTAATTAATTTTCAAAAAAACCACATTAACTTTTAAATAACGATATGTAAAGGTATTTATTAAAAAAAAGAATTTACTTTAAAATTAATTGTTGTAACTTTTCATCGCGATATATCTTTCCTTTTTATAGCAATTAATTTGACGCTAAACTTTTTATCCAAATATTTAGCAACATGAAAAATTGTTTGTCAATCCTTAACTACAAATTTTTTGCAATGTTTTTAATAAAAAGTAGTAAAGCTTTTAGTAAAAAACTTTTAAAAAATCTATATTCCATATTTATTAATACAGAATATAAAAGTTTTTTGTAATATAGATTTTTTATAAATTTTTTACTGAATTTATAATAAAAAACATTTGCAAAAAAATTTGTAATTAAGAATTGACATTTTTTAAAATAAAATCTCAAAAAATGTCTTAATATTTTTGTTATCATGATAACAAAAATATCAAGACATTTTTTCGAGATGTTAAAAAAAATGTCTTTGCTTTTCTTATTAGTTTAATAGTATATAGCTTATAGTTAGTTTAATAGTATATAGCTTTTCTTATTAGTTTATTAGTATATAGTTTAAGTTATGCGGGGGGAGGAGGTCGGCACAGAAAAAAAAATTACCTATTACTCGCAATATTTGAATGAAGACAATTTGTTAAAATTCTTCTGCGTGCGATTCAATAAGTTTTTTTTGTCATAAATCAAGTTATAATATAAGGTAAAGAAATCATGAGTAGACTACAACATCCGCTGATGACACTAATATTACGTTGAATATATTTATATAGCGGAGGTTTTATTATGCACGCGCACATTACAGGTTCCGTTAAATAAATACTAAGGCACGTTTTAGTTTAATGACAGTCTCCATTTTTTACGAATGAATATGTATTTTTCTTTATAAAACAAAACAAACTAGTATATAAAAACCTTGTATATTTCTATTATCTCTAAATTATTTAAAGTTCGAATATGGATTGTATTTTGAAGGACAAAAGATTTACTTTAAAAACTTTTAAATCTTGGGACTTTGCCGATGCGATGATCACAGAAAAAGAGAAGACTTACGTTATTAAAATCAAATTTAAGTTATGTGGTCTTCATCAAAATAAAATATTATCCAAAAACAATAGTGCCGTAAGGGCAACTGCCCAACGGTTTATAAATAATACAAGTCATGTTAAAATATTTTAACATGTTACTATATTTTAATTAAGTTGATATATAATTAAAAATAAAAATGTAGTTCAATAAATAAATTAAATTTATTCTTAACAAAGATTACCTCATATTTATTCTTTTTTTTATTTTATTAAGTTAAATTGCTTACAAACGAAAAAAAAAAAGAGTTTTGTAATTATACGTAGAATGAAAATACTTTTGAGTTTGTTTATAAGTTAAGGAACTTAATTTTTAATAAACAAATTTTTACGAACGTTTATTATAAACAGATACGATTCAAATTATTAAATATACTTAAATTATTTCAGTTGAGTATTTTTATAAGTTTGCACGATTAAAGTTTGGCGTACAAGTATTTGTTTTTTTGTTTTAAGAATAATTAATAAAAGACTTTGCATAATTAAGACTTTTATATTTAATTTAATTTTTTTTTTAATTTCCTAAAATTAAAAAAAAAAAAAGATTTAATCGTTGAAAACGATTTTTCTCTATAGCTCTGTTTCTTTGTGATTTGTTTAAAAAGTTAAATATTTTTACAATAACATAAAAAGTTTATGAATTAAATTCCTAGCGAACGCGTTCTAAACTACGTATCAAAAATACGCTTCAAAGCAGACAAAACTTTTTTATATTTTTATAAAACGCAAGTTGAAACGCTTTTAAAAATTTAAAAAATATTTAAAAACTTAAATTTTTCTTTGCTAGTCAAAACAAAATCGTTGTTTAAATAATTAACATGGGTTTGTGTTTATCAATGTTAATATTTTTTGTTTACTCTAGAAATTTTTAAAAATAAAAAAAATCATTATTATTTTTTATTCAATAACGATTAAAAACAATTATTCAAAAACAAATTTCAGAAATAATTAATATATATATATATTTTTTTTTTCACTAAATAATATTGAACTAAAATTAATAATAAAATAACAATTGAAAACATTACAAAATTTTCATAATAAATTTATATTTAAAACGTTTATAGTTTATATTTGAGTTAATTGTTAAATTGAATTAGTTTGCGGTTATTTATTTATTGCGGTAGTTAAAACACTTAACGCCTATAAAAAAAAATAAAGATAATTTTATGACGTCAAAATCGCGTTAAGCTAATGCATTAAGCACTTTTTTATTTAAAACAAGGCCTGTATATTAATATTTTCTTTACCATGATTAGTGTCTAAAATTGAACGCATGGAACGCATTTCTGTTTCCAACCCACAAAGTTTTCTGTATATGGAGTTCACTATAAATTGAATGCCTTCAACAGTATTGGGTTCAACATTTGCTTTCCGAATAAAGTTATTTATTTGGTCTATCCCAGTTTTTTGAGATGGTAAAGAAAAGGAAGAAGATGAATGCAGTAACGGTTGAACTTGTGAAACAGACTGCATTTCTGATGGAAACACTATCTGTGTAACTGGCAAGTCATCTACTTGATCCATTGAGGCAGAGACGTACAAAAAGTTCTAAACAAGATTAACAATGATTATAAATACATTCACAATATTCTGATTATATTATACTTTTTTTTTTAATTAAAAAATGGTAACTAAAAAAAGCAAATAAACCATAAAAAGTAAACAAAAAAAAATATTATTTTTACGAATGGGATAAAATTTTAAAATGTATACTGAATCGGAATCAGGAAGCTTTGGTGGCTCCCATAATGGTAATGATGGTAAAGGAGGTTCTTCAAAAATACATTTTTTTTCTCTTTCTGTTTTGTTGACTTAAAGGAGTTTTCTTGTGTTTTTTTTTTGATGTATTAAAATCAATTTCTACTTCTGATTCTGCAGTAAGAATATGCTAAAAAAAATAACTTTTTTAATATACATACAATCATAGCTTTATACAATATACATATCATAGATCTTCCATGCAATATTTTAAAAATCCGGAAATTTGTTTGAGTAAAATAACCGGAAAATATTTTCTCTTATTTTCCTCTTATTCTTGCTTATAGCTGAGTTTTTTCTTTTTTTTTTTTTCAAACTTTTCTTTATTTTTTTATGAGTGATGAGTGAAAAAGCTTATAAAACAAATAGATGTATTTAAACTTTTAAGTATAGAAAATGTTTTAGATATCCAGCAAAAAAAAATTACAAAAATTTCCAGAATTCTGGGAATATCCAAAAAAGGTTAATCCTTGACATATACAAAAATCTATTACTAAAAAAGGAAAAAAGAAATCATAATAAATACAGCTCATAATCAACTCAACTTTACCTAAGTTAAATACTCAACACATTTTATGCAATGCTTTGTGCATTGATTACAATAAAAATAATTTATTGAGTTAGTTTAAAAATGCTCACATTCAAAGGTGGGCCGAAACTACAACTGTATAAAAAATTATCGACATTCCGTGCTAAAATATAGATAGCTAAAAAAAAGCTGCGATATGTAGCAAGCAAATAGCTATAGACTTTTTGTAATCTTCTAGCTAGCTTAAACGCTACTGTATTAGGCACTTCAACATTTTTAGAAAAAATGTAAAATGAAAACAAAACAAACTTCATAAGTTTGAACTAAAAATCAACAGTTAAAAAATAACAAACTTATCGTTAAATAATACTTTGAATTTGAATTATGCACGAGTCAACCTTAGCCCCTATATTCATTTTGTTAAATTTTAAATATTGCCTATAGTGAGGAAAAAGCAAGTAAAAATATCTCAAAAACGCTCAAAGTAACCCTCGTAACGCTCAACAACAAAGTAACGCTCGAAGTAACCCTCAAAAACGCTCAAAGTAACGGTTTACGGTAACATAATAAAAACTAAAATAAAAGAGGAAAATGCGAGTTAAATTATTAGAGTCCTACATATAGATCAAATAAATGAAATGTAATTACCGTTGCAACTTGGCCCATCCGTTTAGAGCTTTGAAGAAAGCTGTTGCATTCCGAAGGTTCATCTTTAGATCTTTTACATGCCATTTTTGATATCGATATTGATATTTTTAAAACAATATGAATAGTAGAGTGATAGTGCGAAAAAAGCAATATCGATAAAATTGTTGGTTATGTATAGTAAATTTCAATATGACAAGTTAAGTCGTTAGTAAAATATTGCCAAAAATCATTAGTTGCATAACTGGTATTGCGTAATGCGGTATACTAAAGTATGTTAATTAAAACGTCTAGACAGCAATTTCATGACACGCGTTAATGCGTTTTTAATCGAGAAAACAAAAGTATTTAGATTTTTTAAATGAAAAATAAACTTTATTATAATATAGAAATAACCCAACTGTATTATAAAAATTAAAGTTTATATAGTTTTTTAATTTTTTTTTACAGATATAGCTATATATATATATATATATATATATATATATATATATATATATATATATATATATATATATATATATATATATATATATATATATATATATATATATATATATGTATATATATATATATATATATATATATATATATGCAAGACTATATATATATATATATATATATATATATATATATATATATATATATATATATATATATATATATATATATATATATATATATATATATATATATATATATATATATATATATATATATATATATATATATATATATATATATATATATATATATATATATATATATATATATATATATATATATATATATATATATATATATATATATATATATATAGCTAGAGAGAGAGAGAGAGAGAGAGAGAGAGATAGCTATAAAGCTAGCTAGTCGCTAGCTAATCGCTAGCTCGCTTCCCACCGGGCATTGTATCAAAGAAGTATCCGTGATGTAAACTAAGATTCCATCAATCAAGCTTTAACAGGATATAAAATAAGATTTTTTTTTTCAATTTTTTCTAATTTTTAATACCACTTCTTTATTTTTCTTTATTACATATAATCGAAGAGGTGATGTTGCTGTGATTAATAGAATCTTAAAGATTATTTTGATTAGATTTATTAAAATGTTGATGGCATTTCGAGTGACTTGAAGTTCCGTCCATACCCTAACTTCTACTTAGTGTTAATACATCAAAGTTTTTTTTTTTTTTTGAAAAAAATTGTTTTTATTTGAAGAAGTTATTTATTTGTTTAAAAATATATCAATTTTTCAAAATTATTTAGCGTTTAAAATCGCAAATGATAGCAGCCACATTTCTCAGGATAGTTAGTAGATACTATAGACTAAAAAAAACATCAAAATATGGAAAAGGTACAAATTGGAACAATTTTTTCAATGTAACAAAAAACATGATGTTTGAAGTCACTTTTTTGATCTATGGCCATGTGATTTTCCACTGCGCATCAGCGGCAATAGCTAACACATTATCAAGTGATATTTTGTTTTCATCAAAAAAATCTATATTAGATTTCTTGATATTTGGAAACTTTATCATATTTCTGCCAGATTCACTAGCTAATCCACAGAAATCTGACAACTGATCAGCACCGACATTGCTTTGAATGTTATTTATAAACTCCTCCTCACCAGAATTAATTTCAGCGTCTATATCAGAAATGATACTAACTGATGCTTTCAGCTTTAACTAAAATAAATCATTTCTGTTTCTTTGTGCTTCTTTTAAATGGTTTGATTATTGTAAAAGTACTTTCCTTATCTAAAGGACCAATAACCATATTTTTCTCAATTCTTTGATTCATTTAAAACTTATGCTCAAGTACTGGCACTTTTGATATTCTTGGGCATGTGCGATTACTTCCCAGTGGGCACAGACGTCAATCAGGCGTCTTATGAACGTCTTAACTAGGTCGCGACGTCTCAGACCAAATTAGGACGTCCTAAAGATGTCCAAATAAGACATCTTTGTTAGGACGTCCTAGTGACGTTAACATAAAGACGTTATCAGGACGTCCTATTGACGTCCCTAAGACCTTCTTTAGACGTCCTAATTACCTTGGAAATAAGTTGCCTCAAAGACGTTTAATGGACGTTTTCAATAAAAATTTATATTAAAAGAATATAACTTAGCGCATAAAATTATGCGCTAACTCGGTTAATTAAAAATGTCTGCATTGTTTGGTTGATTAACTTGATATTATTAATTTTGTTTAGTTATTTATCGTTTAAAGATATTTTTCAATTCTCTATATTCTATACTCTATGATCTATAAACTATAATCTATACAATTTTTAAATAAAGGAAAATTGAGTTTAGTTATTAAGTTTAAATAAGTTGTATATATTCTTTAATTTGTTTTATCATTTTTAAAGACTTTTATTTGATTTAGTATTGTATTTTTTCACTCAGATTTTTAAAACTTGGAAAGAACCATAACAAAGATATATATAAATGTGTATATATATATATATATATATATATATATATATATATATATATATATATATATATATATATATATATATATATATATATATATATATATATATATATTCCTTCTATAGTAGCAATTATATAATTTTTTGTTGTGAGATAAAATATCATAGTAAAGAAGTCAGTTGACCAGAATTTAAATGTCTGCTTTAGTGTGTGTGTGTGCGTATTGATCAGTGTTATATACTGTTGGAAATACAGCTCTAAAAGGGAAAAAAAAATTTAGTTATGCTATATCGCTTTGATTCGGTCAAGTGTTGCATATTTGATGTCAGATGCCGTTACAAGGCTAAACTTGTATTTTTTATAATGGTTTTTTATATATGTATGTATTTATGTATGTATATATATATGTACGCATAAATTATGTTAGTGTATTCTACAAATAGAGTGATGTCTGCAATGTTCTTAAAGAACAGAGCAATCAGGGCTGTGGAGTCATGGAGTAGGAGTTGCGACACTGTTAGTGGAGTCAGAGTCGCTAAACAAACTCGCGACTCCGGCTCCAATAGTAAAACTTCTTGGTATTGCATGTTAATGTACAAAATATTTAACCTTTAAAGAGCTTTTCATATATTTGACAAAAAAGTTTTTTTTATTTATTTATCGTGTAATATTTTTTAAAGAATTCAAAGAAATGTTTATTCAATTTTTATTCAAAATTCAAAAAAGTTTTGCTTTGGAGTCAGAGTCGTTCTCTAAAAATTTTAGCGATTAAAAGTTGGTACTTTTTTTTCCCAACTCTACATGCCTGAGAGCAATAATAAATTTGTAATAAAACTTATCTAATTCTCTTTGTCACCTTGTTTTTCCATCAGTAGGTTCATCAGGAAGCTTCCTGATGAACCTACTGATGGAGAAACAAGTTGACAAAGAGAATTAGATAAATGATTTTACTAATTTATATATATATATATATATATATACATATATATATATATATATATATATATATATATATATATATATATATATATATATATATATATATATATACATATATATATATATATATATATATATATATATATATATATATATATATATATATATATATATATATATATATATATATTTATATATATATATATATATATATATATATATATATATATATATATATATATATATATATATATATATATATATATATATATATGTTTGTGTATAGGTAGTGATTCTTTACAGTTATTGGCGTTAGACAAGGCCTTCTTAAACAGGCTGCGACAGCTCATTTTCCGTAAAATTAGCGAAGGCCGACTTTTTTACGGTTAAAATTATTTTTTATCTTTGCTTTTGTAAACAAACTTCAGAAACAAATAAAGAGCTTTATTAGGACAAAACATATTGATTGAATTTCGAAAGCAAATATAGTAGGAATTTTTTTTACGTTTAGAAATAAATTAATTACAATAAAAAATTTAAGGAGTTTAGCTAAAAATGACTAAATCTCGTTTTTATAACTAAAAGTTTATTTTAGCTGTTTAACACTTGTAATACAAATAATAAATTTTTTGATAAAAACAAACAAATATATTAACTTTATTTTATTAAAATTATTTTGACTTTTTTGACTCAAAGTGTTTTATTTTGAAGTTGAAAGTTTTGCTTGTTTTATTAAACATTCCTTCCCAAAATCTTTAGAGTGTTTTTTACAATAATTGTTTAAAAAAATGTTTGCCAAAATGCAGCAAACTTTTTTAACACTTTGAACAAGCAATCGAAATTTACTATTGCAGTTAATAAAAATGTCAATTAATCCTTTCTTGCACAGCAATGGTGAAACTTTATTCACAAGTGTCACTTCAAATATAAAAAAACAATAAAAAACAAAGTAGACTAAATTGTCAGAAGGCTTCCCCTGTTCAAAGAACTGATCAAAGTTCCATATTTTTGAAACATATCAAAGGTGTCTGTTTCTTCTAAAATTGAGTGTAATTCTGGAAGTTTGTAAGCAATAAAACCTGCAATATATAAAAGCCCTTGTTTGCATTCATTTGGCAAGTGATTCTCACAATTTTCACATATTGACATATTAAACTCAACATAAAATTCACACTTATCACAGTGGTGGTGAGCAGGAGGAAATATTGTAAAATCTGTATGTTTGTCTAGCAACTTTCTAGTTTTGTCGATTCAAAATTTTTGAATATCATTTTGCACAGTTATCAGATATGTGCTACCTGACCCTTGCCGATATTTCCCAAACTGTTTTTCTAGTGCATCTGATTGCATATGTCCTAACAATACATAAGATACACCGCAATTCAACAAATACTTGGCACAGCTTGCTAATCTTTTAGAAGTTTTTTGCAAAGCACTTGCAGTATCCATTGTTAACTTTTTCTCTCTTAATTTTGAATTTACACATTTCAAATTTTCAGCAAAATACCAAATATAGTTCTCTAAGAAATCTATTTGCCAATCATTGACTGAAGAAATAGGCTTTTTTCGAATATCATTTAATCTAATATCTAGACCTTTTGCTTTACTGTTGACAATAAGCCACCACTTAACAACTGTTTCAATAAAAAGTGCAGTATCTTCAGCTTCAGGAAATTATACATGTAATGCTGCAACTGTTTCATCACAAAAAACTTTAAGAACTAATCCAACATTTTGTCGCTCAATCAGTTTTGGTGACACAGCTTTTTGTGTTAAGGGTGACAACTTAACTATTCGACTATCTGCAGCATGAAGTTGAATTATAAATTTCCATTCTGCAAGTCGCACAGTATCGTTATCATTTAGCAATCTATATTTTAAACATTGTAATTGTTCAGTGATCCAATTATTTCGAATACATTTTAAAATATGCACAGTGTCATTTAAAAGATAGTATGCTGGAACTTTTTTTGCATTAAAATATTGAAATGTTTTTTGGTTTACTCAACAGTTATCCATTATTAACCCAAGAGGCTTTCCACCTGCAATTATGATTTGTTGATTTATCTTTTCTATCACGCTTGTTTGAAAATTTGTTGTAGAATTTGTAGCAAAACAAGCTTTTCAACGAGATCAAAATATACTAAACGAGATTTTGAATAAAGATGCAATGCTTCAGAAATGTCTTCTAAAGAAAATGGTGTATTGTTTGTTTTATTTAATAAAGCTACTTGATGCCTAATATAACTTGCTCGCTTAGAATCTGTTTCATTATTAATAACATAACTAACAGCATTCTCCAGTTGAGAATAATATTTATTAACTCCTTTTTTTTAAAAAGACAGTTTAATTTGTAAAAGTTGGCTTTATACAGTAAAATAAATATCTCCAGAATCTTCTAAAGTTATATATATTGAAAACTTAGGTACTGGTCCACAATGTTTATATGATATTAAAGATATATTTTTTTCTTTTTCAACAAAATAAAATTTTTCTTCACAGTTATTTATTATTGACTTCAAATTTTTAACAATTAAATTAAATTTAATAACGTTCATTTTTTTGAAGTTTTCGAACTCATCAGATAAATTATTTCTTTCAGAGCATATTAACCCAGTGACATCTCGTTTTCTAGACACTATTGGAATACAAGACACTGGTATACCTTTAAAGACTGATGGAGGATGCACTGGAACAAAACTACCACCTTTGACTTTTTTTAATTCTGCATCTTTAGGCCAGTGCTGAGCACAAATTAGCTTATAATCTGTAAACACAAAGTTTGCATTTGGAAGTTTTTTAATCCATAACTTATAGTTTTAATCAAACAACCAAAATCCTCATTGAAACTTTAATTCTCCGTAAAAAAGTCGGCCTTCGCTAATTTTACGGAAATTTAGCTGTCGCGGCCTGTTTAAGAAGGCCTTGGCGTTAGACAAAAACATTATAATTTTCTTGAACTATACTTGTTTATATCTTTTTTTAAGTTAAACATGAAACTTGAGATTTTTTGCTTTATTCAGTTTAAGTTTACCTTTTCCAACCATTTATAGAAAGTACTATTTACTACTTTATATACTATTTATATGGCTTCACTTATTTATTTTACTTTTCAGAGTTTCAGAGAAAAGTTATGTTCAAACTTACTGAAATTAAAAACATTTTAGTAAATAAAACTGCACAGTTCTCTAATGATCCAGAAGGTTATAAAGAACTTAAAAGTTCAGATGAACTTAATGTTTTGAAAAGAAAAATTGCAAATGGAGATATCTAATACATCACTTTTGTGTGCATGAATTTCATTTTTATAGTTTATATATTATTACAATATTTCTTTTGAATTGTCATGAACATTTTCAAAGTTTCTTTTGCATTATTTCTTTTTAGGTAAAACAGTTATCATTAATTGGAGGTAAAAATTCAGTTGATACAATTAAAAATTTTTTGCTCTTGTAAGTAATTAGCATAAGTTTGAATTTTAACATTTATGTTTGACAGCATGACATTTATCATCTTTTTTATATGTAGACTGACAACAGATACTATTTTCAGAATGCAGCATGAATGGTCTAAAGAAGAAAAAAAAGTTTAAAAAGTTGACAAGTCTATGTATTGCTATCACTGGTATTCTTATTAGCTTATTATTGTGTTTAATTTACTTTCAAAATTAAAAACGATCTTTTAATAAAAAAAAAAAAATTTCTCAATTTTTTTGGCTATGAAACATGACATATATTTTATTTTATGATCTTATTGAACTATGTCTTATTGTTTTTATTAGATGCTGCTTCAAAGTCAAATAAATGCTTAACCAAAATGGAGCTTATTGGGAGATTAATTAGGCATTTTTCTGACCGATTCGAGAGAAAATCCACCAATATCCATATTGATCAATGATGGCTTAATTAACTTCAATCAACTGTTGTGTTTTTTGTTTATTTTGCATTTTTCAGTAATTTTCTTTTTACTTATAATATAATATCGATTATACTCTACAAAAAATATTAGTTTTTAATTTGGAAAGTGTAACTTTGTTTGAATAATTTTTCCAAGTTTTTGTAAAGTTAATAATTTATTTTAAATATATGAAATTACACTTTATGAACTTTGATTTCTCTTTATACCTTCACTTGCCCTCTAAGGTGTGTATTGTATATCATTGCATTTTTATATAACTTTTAAAAGAATGTCTACGTAAATTTACGTCTCTAGGACGTCTGAATAAGACGTCCTCAAGTCTTTCACATGAGACCTACCAGAAACGTCTATAGGTCGGCTGAAAAGACATCTCTAGGACGTCTACAATAAACATCCCTAGGACATCTTGAAAAGACGTCATTAGAACGTCTGTAATAGACGTCCTCAGGTCTTTCATTTGAGACCAACTAAGGACGTCATACGGACGAGACTTGGGACGTTCTATAAACGTCCTTAGGACGTCAAAATGTCCGTTGGGTTAAATTAAAACAATGACATGCTGCAATGTCAAACTTTCCATCTTAGCAATTGATACTGCTAAAGTCTTTAATTCAACTTTTCTTTTAAGAATCATTCTCAAAATATTGTGTAGAGATTTTACTTTCTGCTGCATTCTTTGCATTGTAACAGTTAGAATACCAAACTTCAACCAAATGTTCATAACATTTTAAAAAAGTCTAGGATTTTAAAAAACTCCAGGTGTTTGATTTGGTAGTCCTAGGAAAGTAATTTAATCTCAGAACTATTAATTTGTAATTTAACAAAAGAATAGTGCTGTATAACTTCTTTAACAGTTGGAAATTTGCAAGTAATAAGTTCACATTCGATGCCATAAAGGACAAATCAGCTGCGCTCTTTTTACAGCCATAGTTTGCCACATTAATCAAAACCTTTTTTAATTTTCTAAATTTAAATTTAGTTTCATTCAATTTGCAAAACAGAGTTCTAGAAAAAAAAAGTAAATTCAATAAATCGTATGCAGATGGATTATTTGGTAATCTTTATCATAATAATAATATAATATAACTTTATAATAATTTAAAAGTATAATAATCTATATATCATCTCCACAAAGCAAAACTATCTTAATATTCTATTTTTGTTATATCATCCAATGGTAACAATTTATCACAATCTAGAATAAAATTTAATAATTTTAGAACAAAAATTACTAAGTAGTTTAATAACAATAAAAAAAAGCCTAAAAATTTACAAATATGGTAAAATAAGATCTTTTAGCAACAAATGAAGGCAAAAAAAGTTTTTTTTTTTTTTCCCAATCAAACTAATATCATCTACGAACAACTATTTACACTCTTCAAGATTAAATTTTATAACCAAATTACTAAGTAATTAAATAATGATAAAAAGCATAAAAATACACAAATATGGTGATTTAAGGCCCTCTGGCTGTAAAGGAAATCACTACAAAGTTTTTTTTCTAATTCTAATCTACTTTATATTATCCAGGATCAAAAAAATATCACTATTCAAAGTCAATTTTTTTTTAATCATCTACCCTATTGAACAATAAGCAGTTTCTTTTAGTATTCTCCATCAAGATGGGTAAAAAACTTGAATTTTCTAAAAAAAGATTATGTTTCTGTTTCTATTGTGTGCAATATTTTGCTTTCTTGGATGCTTCTCAATTATTTCAGCCTGCGTGCCATTATAATTTCTAAACATATATGATCATTATCGTATCCTTAACCCTTGCAAAATTATAAATTAACATTGTACCAAAATTTCTTTTATTTTGTTTGCAATATCAGCACCTATTATTTTTTCATTGCCAATAATTATTATAATTATTTCTTGTATATCCGTAGTTCCATCATTCTCAAAAGCATATGTTACTATGAATACCAGTTATTCTCTGAGCCTGTCTGGAAATAATTTCATAGTATTGACGTTTTTTTAGTTCTTCTATAATTTTATTTCAAACTTTATTGGCACAAATTTCCAAAAACTCGTTTTGATTTTGTTGAGATATATAGAGGTTAATAGTCTCTCTATATAGAGGTTATTAACTTCTATATATAGAGGTTAAAAATTGATTATCTTGATATTCTTTAACGTTATCTAAATGATTTTTTAACGTTTCGTTGTAGTGAACTATCAACTTTGCAACAGAAAGAAAAGGTTCACCGTCATCTTGATCAATCGTTGAGTGTGTTTTTCTTAATAGCAAATTGTTTTCTGCTAAAAATATTGTTATATCTACTAATATACAAAGGATTTTTCTCCATTTTTTTTTTTTTCTGTGTTAAGACAAAATTGCATGACTTTGTCAATGCTTTTTCAATCATTTAATGCTTTCACTAAGTCCTTCCATTATAAATACTTTTCTAAATGTTTTTGTTTATCTTTGTGGTTAACGAACTGGATGTTAGATTTTCTCCAGTTATTTCCGACACCTTTTCTGCAAAAACTTGTCAAATCGTATTCACCTTTCAAAAAAAGGAACATCGATAACAAAATATGGTTTTTATTTCGATACTCCACAGAAGCTAATCCCGCCCACGGTTTCTGTATTTTGTAAAAATATTTGAAAAATTTAGGCAGGAAAACGGCGATTATCACGTTCAACACGGAGCAACTTTAATGGCGTACTAGGTCGACCAATTCCAATTTTTAGATCGTGACACTAAATAATCACTATTTAAAAATCCAAAATACCAGAATCATTACTTAGTTGAAATACCGATAAGTGGTTAGAATTATTTTCAATGAGGCATTTAGAACTAGGTATTGTCAACATTATTTCTATAAACTTCCTCTACGCTTTCACCAGGGTTTTAAATTGTCGCTTATCTTGTTACATTGTGTGTCAATTTTCAATAACTTCTCTAAAAAAATAAATTACTTTTTTTTAGAAAATAAGTTTATTTTTGCTTTTTATGGCTCTTCCACATGTTCATTATCATTTGGTCCTTTCGTTACTAATATAAAAGTTTCAATTTCATAATTAATTTGGAATATTTAATGATTTTTAATTTTCTATTAATTTGTAACCAACAACATTATGTTTTTACTCATTTATATTGAATTGAGTTCCTACTAGACTTAAATTGGCATTTATATTGTTTTGAATCGAGATCCTACTTGACCTGGATTTAGACTGACACCTAAATCCAGAAAACAAAGTTTTTTTTTCTACTATAAATTTTTTTTTATCATTTTTAAATTAGTTTGAATAAATCATTTTAACTAAGTTACATTATAGGCTGGAATGTTTGAGTGGAAATATAAACAATGTTGTACATAATGCAGATAGCTTAGGCGAAAAAGAGGTAATAATCTAATAATTGTTATTTATAAATAATGATATATTCATTGCTACTTTTTTCTATATAAATGTTACCTAACATTTGGCAACATTCATAATTGTGTATAATGCCTAATTATAAAGTAAGTTATAATAGATAATAATTATTAGTAAAATGAATCAGTAAATAAAGAAAACTAGTTAGAATGTATATAATAGTTGTATGATGTATTGTCTAGATTGGTGAAATGGAGAATGAGACTAACTACGGTGAAAAAATAATGAATATCAAAATGTGAATGGTACTTTGTTTGACATCTACCTGTTTCTACAGACACAATGCAGTCGCACTTATAAATGGGCTTGATGTTTTTTTGGATTGAATATGTTGTATTGATGGTTCTTTTTAACTTGTCAAAACTTTAAGTTATTATCAAATTTATATATACTATTTTTATCAAATAGTCAATATAAAATAATAAGCATGTAAATTGTTTTATTTTCTGTTTTATTTTATTTTTCTGTAAAAAAAATTTTCTTGATATATTTCAATTGTTTATCACTATGTATATCACTTATATGTATTACTTGTAATTTTTTGTTTTATTTATTTTCAGTATGTTATACATATGCATGCATTAAATATTGTGGGGAAGTCAAGTTTTGATGTTTTAGGTGCATTATAGCTATTATTTTTGAAAGATTTGTAGGATTTAACAAGATTTAAATTTTATTTTGTTTATTGATTTTACTCGGAGAAAGCGATCCCATAGATTAAGAGAACTCAATAATATTAGTGTGATAAAATTTGCTTCTATGATTTAATATGAGAATTCAAATAACCTTAGATCAAAAAAACTTGAAAACAAATCATGCTTTTTTACCATGAAAAATCCATGAGTTTTCCTTGAAAAGGTGTTCCTAATAGCGTATACATGGTTTGTTTTAAATAACTAAAATGTTATAAATACATTTATAACATTTAAAATAAATTTAAAAAACAGAAGTAGGAGATATTAAGCTCTTTTACGCGGCAATCTTCATTAAAATTTATGTGCTATTTTCATTTATTTTTTTATTAAAACTCTGCGAAGGAAAACTTTTGATCTTTTTTGTTTTGACAAAACAAAAAAGATCAAAAGTTTTCCCTCGCAGAGTAAACAAAAACTTTTTGTTTATTGTGAAAAATTGCATTACGTAATTTATGGACGTTCCCTAAGAAAATTACGTTCATCTATTTGTAACAAATGTTTTGCAAAAGCTAATTGTTGTTATTTCTTCTTTAAAAAAAATTATTTAACGGGTACCCGCCCGTTCGTTTAACGGGTACCCGGAAAAACATTCTATGATTTTTAACACTCTTAATAAAAACCCCAAGAGTTTAATGATTGCTTTTAAACCTATTTAAAATTTCCTTAACTAATTTAACTACTGTATGTTCCGTCGAATGTTCTTTTCTAAATCCGTACTGATTATTAATAATGTTGAAATATCATCCATCATCTTTAAATATTTAAACCATTCTTGCTAGTTTAAAATAGTCAGGAAACACTTCATTTTTAATTGAAAGATTACAAATAAACAATAAGGGGTGTTCATTAATATCAAAAATTTTTAACCTGAGAGCTGGCATCATCGAGATCTCTGCTTTTGTCTAGTTTTATCAAGTTAAAAACATATCTTAAACTCATCCAGTACAAGATCCACTTTTTTTTAAGATTTTATTTCTTAAAGTTTATTAATTTGCTACTTTTTCCTAACATTTATAAAAAATCATTAAAATATCTTATTGCCAATTGATTACTTTTCTTTCGTCATCAGCGTATAAATATGCATTCTAATTTAGGATCACTTGCGGAGATGGATAGAGTACTAGAAAAAATAACAACCATTTTTTTAACTAACTGGCAAGCTCATGGAAGTGATAAAGAAATAGTTGTAAATAATGAAGAATTCAGAGAACAGTGTGATTTAATTAATGAAAAACCAAAATTCAATTTCTTTTTCTTTTTTACACTAATTTTGCTTATTGGTTTTTTAAAAAAAAAATCAAAATTAAAACGAAAATACATTTAACATGAGGTAAAAAATATTTAAAAATTTATGCATTAATATTTCTAATGTATAACAAGCACCTTTTTAAATTAACTTTTAGAGAATTCAATACTGAAAAAATTATAGATTTTTTGCCAGTTTTAAAACTATTCTGCCCCACAGTACGTTGTGATATCCGCAGTATGGTACTATCCCAACTTATCATCAATAGGTTTATTAAAATTATGTTTGTATAAAATACGTCTTTTGAATTAGGTTTACGTCCAGTGCCAACTGGGTTAGAAAATGGGGCAGTAAGCGTCAAGACTTGTTACAAAGAGGTAGGGTGGTGTCGAAAACTGTCGCGTTACGTTATTTATAGATGTCCCCTTATTATAGGCATTTTTTTCAAACTTATTTTTTTTTTTTTTAAAAAAACAACATAAAACCATTTGGTATTGAACAAAAATAATTTTTTAAATCACGCACACATTGCTGATAGCTAGAAAAAAATGTCCCCTTAATTCTTACTCAAGGCTAGACTACATTAGAAGTCTAGCCATGAACCTTAAACTATTAATTTTATGATTAAAAGACTAGCACTCGACACAGTTTATTTCCAATTTTTAGAAGCAATAATAATTAAAAAGATTATTAAGGATAGGATCCTAGATTCAATGAAAATGCCTGGATCCAAGGGTTTTATCTATGAATGATTACTACAATGTCCGGGATTGTCACTCTACAAAATCAGTTTAAAATAACATCAACACAATTTATTTGGTTTAGATCAAACCGGTTTAAAACATAGATCATACAATTCAATAAAAATTCATAACAATTTTAAATAAACCAAGACTTATTTTTTTTGCTTGAAACTGTCGTCGGAATTTATAAACTCCATTAAATAAACGAATTAAAGAGTTCGCAATTATCATGTATACATAAAATATAAGATTGTGCTACATATTCATACCTACTTCATGCTGGAATGAAGGGTTAGACATTTGCAAAAGGTTTTGTAATTGTGTAGCATCATCAAGTGTATTATGTAAAAGCACAGTAGTAGTATGATCAACATCTACTGCTTCATTGCCCTCTGGGTCAATGTTTTCATTAACATGTGTCATTTCATTACTTTGGATTGAAACATCTTCATCAGAGATAACCTCCTTTGATCTTTTGCTATGTAAGTGGTGAAATAATCTATCTTCGTTGCTTCCTTCCCTTTTCATTTTTTTATCAGAGTTCAATTTTATTTCAGATTTAATATTTCGCTGGGGTTGATACTTACGCAAGTCATCTTCAATGTTTATACCAAGACTCATTTTAACAGCTAAAACATGCGAGCATAATCCACTCCTGTTTTCCAGACATGAACAAGAAACTTTAGGAAACAAACTAACTTCATAATAAGTAACAGGGTTGACTTTTACAGTAAAAGTTTGCTGTTTGCTATTTAACTCAATTGCACCAGCTTTTAATAGCTGAGTAGCTGCAGACTGTAAATTCATTTTGATTTCAGAATTCTCAGCATCATCTTTTAAAATCCCTTCTGCCACCAAAACCTGTTTATTTTGAATATAAAACAAAATCTGGTCAGGTGGACAGGAAGGAGAACTGTTATTAATATCATCCATATTTCTTTGAAGTGCTTGAAATTCTGCACGCATTGTGTAGGGTCCTACTCCACAAAAGCTTTTAGAAATCTCACAAGACAACCAACGCTGTAATAAACAAAGAGACAAAACAGTTGATTGAACAGGTGAATTTCCTGAGACTTTAAGTTGTCTAATAACAATTTCCATACCTTCATTACTTTTATCAGTCACACCTGTATAGGGATTATACACATTCCACTTTTCAAGTGCCCATCTACCTAATCTATCATTAACAACTTCATGAATTTCTTTCATGTAATACTCTTCAAAAAAGTCATGCCAGCGAGTTTTGCACTCAACGAGTGCTTCTTCATATAGTTCTTTTGAGCGCCTTGAAAAAAGTTGGCGCAAATCTTCTATATAAACTGTAACTTCCTGCTGACTAGCACCATTAGCATACAACCACGCTTTTGTATTTGCTATAACATCTTTCCAAGAAAATAGTGTATGCATATTTGGAAAAACAGTGCTAATTGCAGAAAATTTATTTGGATCCAAATTTAAGACAACTGGATTAGAACTTCCAACTATACTAGGCACCATTTGGGATAAAATTCGACAAAGCTCTTGATGTGCTAATCCACAAGTTTTTTCATGAATAACAAAGTGAGATGGAATAGTAGGACGCTCTAGAAAAGCTGGATGAGTAAACAAGAAGGAAGACACAACATAATCTCCTAGCTCATATGAATTACTATAAGAAAATAATGGTCGAGGTTCCTGATTCAACCCTAATAAATTCTCAAGATCATCAGATATTTCTTTTGAGCCAAAAACAATAACCAAATCAGGAAAATGGGAAATTAACTTAACATAAGAGTCTAAACCATAAGCTATTCTGTGAAGCTCAAGAAAATCTTCTTTTGATAAAATACACTTTTTTTGTTGTTTCGGTTTTACTGCTCGGTGAACAGTTCCTTTTTTATCTTCATATCTTGAATATTGGTGCTCACTAGAAACAACAGATTTATCTGAATGTTTTAATTCTTTTTTAGAGTCTCGCATTGCAGCTATTGTATGATCTCCAAAATAATGTACAACAACTGGAACTCTTTCCCGCTCGTCATTTATTAACTGATAAACATTTTTATGAAACTTTGAAACTTTTCCATTACTCATATAAGCAGCATAATATCTTTTTTGGACTGTTGGATTTTTTCCAGGTACAAGTTTTGGTCCATAATGGCACCATTTGTACCCATCGTTTTTCCAGGAATCTATAAAAAGTATAACAAAAACAATAACTATATATATATATATATATATATATATATATATATATATATATATATATATATATATATATATATATATATATATATATATGTATATATATATACATACATATATATATATATATATATATATATATATATATATATATATATATATATTATATATATATATATATATATATATATATATATATATATATATATATATATATATATATATATATATATATATATATATATATAAAATGTATGCATGTATGTATGTATGTATGTATGTATGTATGTATGTATGTATGTATGTATGTATGTATATATATATATATATATATATAATTTTGATATTATAATCAAAGCAAAAATGTCACACAAGATAAAGTTATTGCACGATTTTTTTTTTTTGCAAGTCGAATTTGTAGTAAAAGTTTAGTTTAAAATTTTAAAAAAGTCCAAATTTAAATGAAAGCTTAAATTAAGTTCTTGACAAGTTGATTAAGTCACTTAACAGTGTTGATTCTATACAAATCATCACTGTTTAGTGACTAGAATCTAAGTCATTATTTAAGTTAGATAATAATCCAAGGCAGCAATTTTAGTACTTAGTAACCATATAATAAGCATAAATTTATTTAAACATAATGATCCAATTAAGTTAAAAGTAAAATTGATCTAATGTTAACAAAATGATACATTCTTTTTTGTTTCTCACCTTCACCGTTTAAAGGAATAAGCAAAAAAGTATCTCCTCCTTTTGGATTTTCAGGAACTTTATGAATAACTTTATATTGATCAGTATTATTTAATATTTCTATGGCAGTTTCAAGTTTTAAAGTTTGATTACATCGAAGAATTACAGGGTCACTATCCACTAAAGACGTGCCACAGTTGGGTAACTGTTTTTGATCGCTCAAAATGGACGCCATAGTTCACTTAACAGAACAGATAGTTGGACTGTAAAAAGTTCACAGACCCGAGCTTTTTAAAAATGCCAGACTTGAAAGATATGGCGCTAATTATGCAAATTCTAACAATGAAGACGACTTTGAGGCAGGGGTCATCAAGTAATGGAGGGGGGAGGGCTATTTTAGATTATTTGCAGCAACCCTATAAATCAGGGGTTGCGGAACGAAAATAAAAAGGATGGAGGGGGGGGGGGAAGGCAGGACTAAAAAAATTGCAAAAAAAATTTTGCAAAATTTATGAAACTAATATTAAATTTTTGTTATTCTTAAAAGAAAACCACTTGCATCCATTTTCAATAAAGTATAATACCAACTATAAACATATTTCACTAAAATTTAAAATTAAAAGAATATGTTACAATCTAAAAATAATTTAACGTCTCCCAAAGTTGGAAATTCAGGTGTCTTTACTTTTTCCATTTATAAAATCTTTTGCTACAGCTTTACATCTATTTCCGCGGTGTTCAATTTATAAAATTGAAAAAGTAGAAGATGATTCAATCGCTTCTGATTTGAGGTTGACCGACTATATGACTTTATCATTCTTAGATGAGAGATCTCTTGGCTGTGCAGTGGCGAATTAAGACATCTTGGGGCCCATGACTATTTTTGTTTTTGGAGACTTTTTTACGGGTCAGAGCCTAAAAATGACTAAAAAAAAAAAGAGGTCCTCTAAAATTTTTGGGGGCCACTAAATTTACGAGGCCTGGGCTATAACGCCCCTTGATCCGGCACTGCGACTGTGTAGGTTGTTAATGGTATCGCCAAGTAAATTTTTAGAAGTTTTGATATTTCAAAAAACATTATTGAGACTCCTTTACCGTCGTTTAACATATCAATTATAGTTGTGATTGATGTTCTTTTATATGTAATGTTATAAGTTTCCTTAATGGATTTAAATAAAAAAAGATCAGCTTTTAATTTTTCATTAACTGTTTCATTTTTATAGAAAACCTTTATATTATCTAAAGCTTTTATGTCCGTATCACAATTTGCAGTGGACAATGGTAATCTTTCTAAAGCAATTATTGATTTGATTGAATTTTCTGGGAACCGTTGATTTAATTGACTTTCTATAACATTATGAAATATTACCGAGCTAGTATTACGAGTACGTGTAACTCGTAATACTAGCTCGCTTTGATGATAATATTTTGAACTTGTGAAAGTTCAAATCATTATCATCAAAGCGAGAAGGAGTTAAATATCGGCAAGACAAAGAAGCATGTGGTGAATTGCAACCAAATTTTTTAACTCCTTCATTAATACAAGATTCAAAAAATGATTTAAAACGTGTTTCTGATCTTATGGGTGATATATGAGTTTTTAATAACATTATTGATGAAGCAATTGTTTGAGCATCTACTTCAGCAGATTGCATATGTTGATAGACTTGCTCTACAGTTGCAAACACATGATAAACCAGACGAAGCCCAAAATTTAATTGAAATGATAATAATCTATCAGGTAAACCTTCTGCATTAGCTCTGTTAGGATCATTTGATTCAGAAATTTCTTAAAGCTCTAAAATAATTACTTGAAAATTTGTCAGAATTGAACCATATGATTTGGTTCTCACAGTAAAACGAGTTGGACAAGGAGCACTTAAATTGATTTGCTGGACATTCTCGTCAAGTATATTGTATTGTAAATTTATAAACCTTACCAGTCTCTATGGAACTAAACAAAATTATACAATAGTTGGAACAATTCCTATCCCTCGTTCATACAGCTGACTTGTTTACAAGCATCTTAAAGAACAAGAATATTAAGAAAAATTTTTTTTTTGATTTAAAAGCATTAAGTACATTTCTTAGCACATAATTTGCCATTAGTTCTTTCATCTCGTTAACAATATCATGAGACATGTACTTACTGCTTGACAACCACCTCAATAGAGGTGGATAATCTTCACTAACAAAGTACTATATTTCAAATACTATATTTAAAACCAGATAAAAACTTTTAAGATAATAATTTTACAGACTTGAAAAGTGGGGGGGGGGGGGGGAAGGGACTATAATACCAAAAGCCCCCACTAATTTTAAAAGTAAGGGGGCTGAAGCTCTGAAAGTCCCCACTGTTCTGCCACCCCTGCTATAAATCATATAACTTTTTAGTTGATTTTTGTTTAAATATCAGAAATTTTTTTGGTGCTCTCCCATAAATAAAAGTTCTATAGAACTTTATATAAACTTTTGAAACATATGGCCTATAGAAATTCTATAGAATTTTATAGAACTTCTATATAGTTTCTGTTAACTTCTATAGAAATTCCTATTGAAATTTTTTTTTGTACTTTTTATTTTAAAGAAAAAAAAGTTTTATAGTAGTTTCTATAGAAATTAATAGAAATTCTATAGAATTTCTATAGAGTTTCTGTAGGCCATATGTTTCAAAAGTTTATAGAAAATTCTATAGAACTTTTTTTCCTGATCTTTGTTTTAGTTGCATTGATAATATTGTTTAATGATAGCGATATTGTTTCTGTAGAAGTAATAGTTTTATCAATATTGTTATAGTTATTTCTTTAATTGTCATCTTCATTTTATAAAAGTTCTGCATAAACCCTACAGACTCAAAGGAACTTTATTTTAATATATTTGTGCATAATTTTTAATCTTTTACTTTTGTCATTTTTAAAACTAATTTTGTGTTAAATGGGAAAACTAAAACATTTTTTTAAACAGCAACTAGTTGTAAACAAAAAACAAACACAAATAAAAATAATATAATTCGATATAACATGTGTGTCCTGCAAAGGTCTATACTAGGACCAATTCTTTTTCTCATTTATATTAATCATTTTTATAATGCCTCAAATTTAATAACAATAATGTTTGCTGATGACACAAACTTTTTTTGTCGAGCAATAATATCATAACAATATTTAATGACATGAATATAGAGTTAATTAAAATTTCAAAATGGTTCAAGTCAAATAAGTTATCAATTAACATAGAACTTTTTTTAGCACTACCCCATACGTATATTTTACCAACTAAAAGTTTTTAACATTCTTTGCTTTATATTTAAATGTAAGATAAACTTAACTCCTATATCTTTTCAAAATTTGTATGCAATAAAGCACAAAAACAAATATGATATAAGAAATGACAATTTTATTTATCAACATTATTTGCATTTTGAAATTTTGAAGGTCTCTTATATCTTATCGCGGAGCTTTTTTGTGGAACCAAGTAGTTTTAAAAAATTTTGATTTTTCCTAAAGTTGGAATTTTTCTCCTTTCAAAAACAAACTAAAAAAAGTTATTTTCTCAATAGATAATATTTTCGAATTCTTCTGACCTCGTTTTTCATTTTATATAAGTTATCTAAATGTAATTTAACATTTTTTATTTTATTTTTTATTGTTTTGTTAAACGGTGTTTGATAATTGAGATACCTTATCTTATTTGTATGTAGGTTTTCCTAAACGGTATTTGCTTTTCATTTTATACTTTTTTGAAATAATTGGTTTATTATTATTGTTAAACGGTTCTCGGTGGCAAGATCTTACGATCCTCTCGAGTTTCCGTGTTCTCCTATATTACGCACCATGATATTTTTACCATAAAATATTGTTTAATGAATTAAAAAAAAAAGAAAAAAAAAGTGCAGTTAATTCCCGTTAAGTCGAACACTGGTTAACTCAAACTCTTGTAATCTCGAACTGTATAATCCCTTAAGTATAATCGCTATAACCCCTTGAAAACAAGAACAACTGTTTTACTTCGCAAACATACGTTTAGTCAAACTGTTTTCCTTGGTTCCTTGGAGGTTTGAGTTAACGTAAATTTATCATACGTTTAGTCAAACTGCTTATTAAACAGTTAATTAAACATACGTTTATTAACATACGTTTATTAACAGTTTATTAAACATACGTTTAAAAAACTGTAAATTAAACATACGTTTAGTCAAACTGTTTTCCTTGGTTTTACTTGTCAAACATACGTTTAGTCAAATTGTTTTCCTTGGTTCCTTAGAGGTTTGAGTTAACGTAAATTTATCGTATATTATATAAGTACTGAAAAAAAATGTTTTTATTTTTTCAACCCTCTCACCTTCCCCCCCCTCACCTTCCCCATTCCCCCGCCCAATTTTTTCGGCAAAAATCCGTATGGCATCCCCACCCCACTTGAAACCTACTCGCGCCGGCCCTACTTTCAAAGACGTTTATGCATCAAAATCTCTTGCAATGATGACTGAACTAAAAATGAAAGACGTGCATCCATATTTAATAGAGAAAGAGATGACATCATGTTTTCCTAATTTATCTATACTCTATAAAATTGACTTTTCTTTTACTCCGCCATTGGTTACCGGGCTTAGTTGGAACACGGAGCAACACGTTAGTTGAAACATTGAGCTTTTGCGTCGACTAAGGAGCAGTTTATTATTACAAACAAGTAACGAAAATTTCAAGAACTAAAATACATACTATTTTGTTGTTGGATAAAATTGCAAAAACTAAGCTGCTGCTAAAGGTTTTTGAGAATTGAACACATGAACACATGAAAGTAACTTTTTGTGATTTTTATATTATTATTTGTAATCTTGTATTATGAAAAATAATAAGATAGTTTGATAACATCAAAATACTAGTTTTTGTGAGCTTTTTATTTAATTTTTGTAATTTTTTGTTCATTTTGTAGAGTTTTGGGCATAGGATACCTTAATTAAATTAATTAAAAAGAATGCGCTGATTAAATGAGGGTTTATTGGAACGTTGTGATTGGGGTTCGTTGAAACGTTGTGATTGGAGTTTGTTGGAACATATAAGTTTAAAAGCATCAATAATACTTTTTCTATTATCGCTCATAGATTATTTTTGCTTGTTTATTTCTAAATTAGAGTTTAAATCAAGGATCGAGAATACTATTCCACCAATGCTTATTGGTGGAATAGTATTCTCAGAAGTGCAAAATTGCTGTACGTAAATTTTAACGCTATTTTTGTTAGAAAAAATGGGTTATAGAAACTTTTTTGAATTTCTTTTTGAAATAACCTAGCAAAGTTCTTCTATGACAAAATTTGTTTGTTAGTACAACATTTTTTTCCTTAATTACAGTGTCTACTATAGTCAAGTCGTCAAAATTGTTTGTTTGTTTGGTTTATTCATGGTCAACATTATTTACAAGTTATTGACAAAAAAGCAACACACCAGGCCACTCTGTGATGAAAATAGAGTTTTTAGATTTCAGCTAAAGTTAAGACGCCGGAGCAAAGAAAATTTGTATTTGAAATTGTTCAGGTTCTTTGAATCTATCGCATTTTGGGGTAAAGCATTCCATTTTTTGACAACACGATTGGTGAGCAAGTTGTTTCTTTTTGCGCAGTTTCGTACAAGTTGTGCTCTCAGTTGTTTTGTATGTCCATGCGGTCGAAGACTCTACTTTAAAGATTCGGTGTTTGGGTAAAACTGAGAAGTTAATTGTGTCGATTTTGCCGATAATTTTGTATTGCTCAATAAAGTCTCCTCTTTCTCGTCGTTCAGTTAAGTCTTGAAAGTCTCTGAATTTAGGCAAGTGCTTTAAGTAAACAATATGTTTTGTCGCTCGGGGTTAAACTTGTTCGAGTTTAGCTGTATCTTGAGCTAGAAATGGCGATGTTTTGTACTGCAAATTCTTAGTCTGGGCAAACGTATAAAGTAGACAGTGTGTATCATGATGCTTAACTCCTACCTCAAAAAGCTTTCTTGAGCATGCCAAACATTTGGTTGCCAGTTGAGGCAGGCATGAAGACTTTTTTAACCTTCAGATTATTAGTCATAACAAGGCCTAGGTCTCGTTGAGATTTTGTGCAGTTGGTCTGCCAAGTTATTTACAGTGTAAATTGCAGTATATTTTTTGGTGTTGCTGCGCGCAGAATGCATCATAGTACACAAAAAAAAAAAATTATCTTTAGGTTTTGGGGCATCTAATTTTGTCGGATCCTTGTGCCATGGTACATCCTGTTTGTATCTAAACCCGGGCCTGTATAGAAAATTAAAATCTATTTCTTAAGAATTAAACTTCTCCCCCTATTTTATCGAAATAACCAATTGACTGTATCAAGGTTCATTCGTTTCTAAAATTTAAAAAATACAAAAAAAACCAATAAAAAAATATATTTTTAGGAGTGTTCTGTTTTTTTTGCAAAAAAAAACTCGTTGATTTTTTTTGAGTACGTACTATGCACCGCACAGCAACCAGCTTTATTGCTACTCGGCATATATCGCACAATAACCTAGAAGTTTTGAATTTTGCGAAGGCCGATGGAGTTATAATGTTGTACTTTCCGCCTAACTGTTCATACAAGCTGCAACCATTTGACAGATCTGTCTACTTTCTTTTTAAAAAGGTTTTCAATACAGCATATGACACATAGATAAATACAAATAAAGGCAAAGCAATTACTATTTATGACATTCCAAGCTGTGCATTTCCTCTTGCAATAACAATAAAAAACTTATGTGCAGGGTTTAAAGTCAGCGGAATCTGTCCATTCAATTGCAACATTTTTTCCGATGTCAACTTATATGCTTTCAAAAGTTACAGACCTCCTAGAACCAGCAGTAACTATGGTATAGCTTGAAGTTCCTGCTTTAGCCACTCTTAGTCAAGAACTTCCTGTCTTGGCTACTGGTTATAATTATAATAATTATAATGTTCGTAATTTTTTATATAAACATTAGTTGTTATATTTTGCCTTAAATCAGGTACAGAACCAAATAATACTGAGAAAAAAATAATTTGAAGAATTTAAAAGCATTCGGCAAATATTTGATGTGGTTTGTATGTTGCATTTGAACTCACAAGGCATGCTAAAGTACATATTTACATGCTGCTAAATACATATGTTTCTGCTGTGACGACTGAGGTACTGAGGTGCTGAGATGTAAGTTTTTTTTCTCTCTCTTTTATGTTTTTTCATTAGTTGTCTTTATTTGTTTTTCTTAATTTCCTTTTTTTTCTCTGTATGTTTTATTTGATGTTTTTTTTAGGTGAATAATTTATAACTGTACGAGTGGCACCTAACCCTATTTATGATTTATTATTGTAAATTTTATGTTTTATGGTATAATAAATAGTTTCCTAAGGGAAAGACTTCTTTTTATAAAATTGGAAAGCACAATAACTTCTTTCAAAATATGATATCATATCTTTATGCTATTGTGCTTTCCAATTTCATAAAAAGAACTATTCCCCCTTAAGAAACTCATTTAAGAAACTCAAAATATCGCGATACTCTGAATAATAGTGGGAAACCGTGTTGTCGCAACACATTCGTTGGCCCTTAGACAAAACTCAAACTTTTAACAATTTTTCTGCAATTTCTGCAATTCTATAATAAACTCAGTGACTCTCAACCCTGTTAACCACTCGGTGGCCCTTTGGACTTTCTCTACCCTGTTTACTCTATCGCGACGCCTCTGATGGGAAGCAATATAATGCTTATCTGTTACATGATATTTTATCAAAGAAAAGGGTTGTTCTTTCTTCCAATCAGGGCTATATTTATAAAGTCTATTTTAATTTATTATTCAGTCACATTTTTTTAAATAAACCACAGTTCCGGTTTGTTCTTATTTCGTATGGCTAATATTAGTACAACTAACCGGAATTTAAGGCCACTCGGAATTAAATGTAAGGTTATTTAACGTTGGACCTCCGTCCAAGGATCACGACTATAGGATCAACATGGCCGAAATAAATGTGACCGAGTTATCAAATGCTGAGCTACGAAAAAAGCTCACTGAGTTTGGAAAATCTGTCGGTCCTATAACTAAGTCTACTAGAGTTACGTTAGAAAATAAACTTAAAAAATTGATAAATGAATCAGAGCAATCTATTTCAAACTCCTCAAATCACAAAAAAAAAGTCGTACGCAAGTCAAACGTATCTTCTCGTCGCTCATCTTTATCTCGAAGCGAATCTTCAAATTTAAAATTTGCTCCTTTTTCCAGTGACGAAGAAGATGAAGTTTTATTTAAATTAAAGAAATCTAAAAATTCAGAAAAATTGTTAGATTTAGAAAAACCTAAATTAGTTAATAAAAATGAACTTATAGAAGCAAAAGTTCAAATTCCTTCTACTTATACAAGTGCATCACCTATTTCGCAAGATATTATAAGTAAAAGTTCTCCATTGAGTGGAAAAAAATATAATTCTTCTAATGATTATCAATCTGGTTGCGATTTAAATAGAAAAAACATTGCAGAATATAGTGATGATGAACATTTTTTGGAAAAATTAAATGAAGAAAAACGTCAAAATATTATAAGATTATCAAAGAAAGAAATAAAGTCTCCATCAATGGAAAATAATGTTTTTCGCACTCCTAGTTCTCCTGTTGTTATATCAAGAACTTCAATGAATGCCATTGATAAAAATATACGAGGAGAAGTAGATGCTTGTAAAGCTGAGGTAAGGAACAGTTTTACTTCTAAAAAGCCAAGTCCACCAACAATTTCCAGACGTGTTCAGTTATCATCATATAACAATTACAATGCAAAAAATAAGGTTGAAGGATTCAAAGATAGAGAAGCAAATAAAAATGAACATAGTGAAAAACATTTTTTTTTAATAAAATGTTTGAAAAGTTTGTTTAGTGAAAAACAAATAAAATGCATAGCTTGTATATTACTATTTGGTTTAAGTGCTGTTCTAGTTGGATTATATTGGTACAATGAAGAAGATCCTCTTAAACTCACATATTTAAAAGGTACTTGATTTAATTATACACATACATACTTAATAAAACGTGCTCATATATATATATATATATATATATATATATATATATATATATATATATATATATATATATATATATATATATATATATATATACATATATATATATATATATATATATATATATATATATATATATATATATATATATATATATATATATATATATATATACATACATACATATATATATTATATATATATATACATACATATATATATATATATATATATATATATATATATATATATATATATATATATATATATATATATATATATATATATATATATACATACATATATATATATATATATATATATATATATATATATATATATATATATATATATATATATATATATATATACATACATATATATATATATATATATATATATATATATATATATATATATATATATATATATATATATATATATATATATATATATATATATATATATATATATATATATATATATATATTACAAAATTTATACTAGTAATCTTAGATTACTAGTATAAACTTTTTTAATTTGTTTCCATAAATTATTTTTATTATTTTTAGAATTTTTATAAAATTTTTCAAAATATTATGGACCTGTTTGATGTTTATTCAAAAAAAAAAATTTTATTTAAAAATTTTTCAAAATTTATTACATAGAACACATTTAGGGGGTGACAGCAGATAATTTCAAAAAAAGTTGTTTTTAGAGGCACATTTTATTTATAGAAACCATTACATTATTTTTATTTGAGTTGTTACGAAAAGTTTTCGCCCAAAAAACTTTCATTATTAAAAGTGTTTATAAAATAGAAAAAATTTGAAAAGATTTATAAAAAAATACATATTTATATAAATGTATAATATACTTTGATAATTTAAGTAAAATGTGTTTATTGTAAACATTATAATTCATTTGTTACTTTATTTAATAAAGTGTTATTGTATTGGGTTTATTATAAACCGGTAATTCCATATCAAATCACCCAGTCCATTTAACCATGTATCATCTTTTGTGTTATATTTTGACACATCATTTCTAATTATAAAAAAATATTGTATGCAAAATTTCAGCCTAAAATGTTAAGCAGTTGACAAGATACTGCAATTTTAATATTGACCTGGTTTTTCAAAATGACCTGGTTTTTATAAACCACAAAAAATCTAACTAGAAAAAAAAAACTTAAACATATAGAACTTTAATTTCAAAGATATATCACTTTTTCAAGAAACTCTCTAAAAATATTTGTAAATAAAATAAAAAAAAGTTAATCGTAATTTAAAAAGTAACTTACATATACAAGTTATTTTGACTGGGTTTGTAATAGTTCACAATATTGTTACCATTTTACTTGTACTTTTTTTATTTCAGCATTTTCAAATGCATAGTTTCTACTATAACTAAAGCAAGCTTGTGGAACAGAGTTGTTAAACCATAGTACCTTTGTACCTTTGCTCCTTATAAGGTAAGCAAAGGTACCATTGTACCTTTGCTCTTTATATTGCGGTTGTAAGTCCAATTCCTTTATGTAAATGAAGTTAACAACCTTGATTTTCTCAATATAAAATTCATACATAGCTGTGAAAATTTGGTGTCTGTATGGTTGTTTTAAACTTTCTTGCATTGTTAACCTTTTTTACAGTACCGCCAATCCAATCAAATGGTGACTGTCCGTAGGACATGGCAAAAAATTTTTATTCAACTTTATGGATAAATTTGCTCTCTAGTTGGCATATATTGTAAAAGCTTTTACAATTTTTGCCAACTAGAGAGAAAATTTGAATAAATGTAATTTGAACAGATTGGAAAATTTTGGTTTTTAATATTGGTATGATTATTTAGAATATTTTGTACACATAAGTTACATCATGTGTAATGTCGTCTGATATAAAACAGTTAGAAATATGTTTCAGTACGCCTTTATCATCTTTATAGTATATCTCTAATGGATGTAAAGAACATTATTGGGTGTTCCAATGATAGCTTTGCATTTTATCTTGGACTACAAAAGCATAGTTTTCAGCAAAGTTGCCAATAATGATAATGTTTGATTGATCTATATTTTGTTTTAGTTGGTTAAGTTACTGTAATTGAGAGTGAGCAATAAAAGAATGAGCTTGTAGCTTTTCAAAGCAAGATACTAATAGTTCAATAAACGTTGGAACATCTGCTGTTAAACTCAATAGTGTTGCACAATTAGTAGCTAGCCATCTCTTGTAGTGTATCTCAAAATCATCTTTGTATTATCCAAAAATCTCATACAAATATTTGGTGATGGGTTCTTTACCAGGACAATTATCACACTGCAAGCATGCATTCTTTGTTATCTACTGAACAGTTTTTGAAAGTAAATCCTTATACTTTAGTCCAATATTTAAGGCATCCACTAGCAATATAGCATTTTGGTGATAAGAACAAACACAAACAGAATATGTACCCCTTGTACCTGGCAAATTGCACCACTTTGGTCTAAGTAAAGCAAATTTTAAAGTGTATGTTTTGATGACTTTGAATGATACCCTTGAGATTTTAGAGGAGATATATTAAAACTTTCGAGTTCTTCATTGATCTCCTGTCTTTTGGATTTGAGTGATGATATTAGAAAATCCTCATCTTGTTCACCCTGACTTTGCTTCTCTTCTTTAAGATATTCTTTTCTGGCAATCTTTTGCTTACAAGGTTTGCAAAGTTTCTTCCAAGGAGCAATATTCAAACTACTTCTCATCATGACTTGTGACTCATTTATCATAAATACTCTAAGATTTTCTAAAAGTAATTGTATAAAGCTTATCTGCACATTTATTTAAAACTTTGTTTATGTTTTGGAAAATACAAATTAAAAAAGTATATATATTAAAATATTCAAATTCTACATCTACTTACTTGTGATTTTTTTTTTATGTTTATTGAATGGGTCACAATAATCTTTCTGTCATATAGGATACATTTCCTTCTGTTGTATAATATTAAACACTGATAGATATTGTTAATTTTCTTTATAGATATATTTATATATATACAAATTAAATATATATAAAATATATATCAAACTGTTAATTTGTTTAAATTTAAAAACAAATGCACTTCAATATCACACTTAGTAAGTTTTTATATAAAAACAAAACAGGATGTTTTTTTCAGTTGTTAAGTTCTAGTAACTAAGTTATCATATAATTAAGACTTCCTTAAATATAACAAAATTGTTTCGTTTTTTTTCTAAGGAGTCTATAAACTAAACATAATATTTTACAGAATTCTATTTGCAAGTTTTTGTAAATAGTTTATTTAAAATTAGATATATTTTTGAAATTAAAGTTCAATATGTTTCAGTTGTTTTTCCAGTTAGATTTTTTGTGCCTAGTAAGATTATAAGCAGCTGAAAATATTAACAGCAAAAAAAAAAAAAAAATGACAGGGTGTTTTGAGATATTAGACCCCAACATTGGTTTATAGAAACTAGTTGTTTTGTTAACTTTAAAGCATGTTCCTTAAATATTTCAGCATTTTAAATACATTTATTGAATTCAGCATCAAAAAAACATTATATATGTTTATTTTCATATTTTTGCCATTTTTATTTCTTAATTTTTTAAGAAAAATATTTTTTTATAATGTTATGAAAACCGGGTCATTTTGGGAAACCATGTCAATATTAAAGTTGCAGTTAACTTTTTAACTTTTCTTTTTAACATACAAGAGCCAAAAAAATTTAAGGAGCCATGGTTTAAAATTTCCTAAATTTTGGATGATTTGATGAATTACCCAAACATTAATTGGGTTTATTGTAAACATAAATTATTTGTTACTTGTTTTAATAAAGTAATTAGTAAACTTAATAATTTATATATTTAATAAATTTACATAAAAATTGATGTATTTGATAATTTTTTTGATTTTATTATACATGTAATACATGTATAACCAAAATTTCTTTTAACCACCAAAATATGTAAATATATTCATAAACAAAACAAATTTTTAAATTTTATAACCATTTTTTAATTAAAAAACAATATATGTTTCGACTAACACTAGTCATCCTTAGTTAAAATTAAATATATAAAATTTGTTAAGATACCTATAGAGGTAAATTATTTGAATCGGGAAAGCAAGATGAAGGAAGCGAATTCCAAAGAACTGATATTTTTGGAAAAAAAAATGAGACTTAATTGAATGACGAGTAACACGAGAATGAATTTTAGTAGATGGCACAAGAAATGCTAGCTCTTTAGAGCAGTGCCCATTATAGTATTTATAGAAAAGAGAAAGAAAAGCAACATTATAATGATGTGATAATGGTTGAAGGTTGGATGTAAGAGCAGGTTTACAATGCTTTTTTGCACCTTGTCTAAAAGAGAAAGGGTATCATTTGAAGATCCACCTCCAGATATGGCAACAGTATTCCATACAAGGCCAGATTTGGGATTTATAGAGATAGAGAATAGAATCCAGAGTAAGAAAGTATTGAGTTCATACAAAAATAATGTCATATGAAAAAATCGTATAGATTTTTGTACAAACTAATAATAATATAACTACAAAAATACAATAAAATCAATTAAAAAGTTTATCATGTCATACAAAAGAAATAGGAAATAACAAAAGAATAGGTTAAAAAGATATGCAATATGTAAAAAAAATAGCAACTAAACAGAAAGTCATTTTTACATGGTTAACCTGTTTATTCATACCAGGTATTAACCATTTAATAAACATACTTTAAGTTTTAGCTCAAATTTGTTAGATGTCGAATCTAACAAATACCAGGTATTAACCATTTAATAAACATACTTTAAGTTTTAGCTCAAATTTGTTAGATGTCGAATCTAACACAGAAAAACACATATTTATTTGCATAAAACAATTTTCATTAGCATGGGGATGTTTATAGATATGAGACTTTTTGTCCCTCTTGTAGTGTTCAGATATCCGGTTTTTGAGATGGCGAGATGTTTTGCCTATATAACAGAAGTTACATTCTGCACATATGAATTTATACACCACGAACAATTTGAACTCTAGAGGAATAGGATCTTTAGAAGAAAAGAATTTAGAAATTTTCAGTGAGTTAAATACTAATTTAATATTTGCTGAAAGGCAATATCTTTTAGCAATTGAATTCAGTCTTTTTTTAGTTGAATCAGATATTTTCCCTAAAAATAGCAGTTTAAAATAAGACAAAAATTCTTTGATTTTTGATTGTGGTGAAGGATTTGAATTAATCTTGTTTAAATAAGAGTTATATATTTTTGAAATGAGCCAAGATGAGTACATATTTCTTTGAAACGCTTTAAAGAGGTCGCTTATGTCAGAGTGAAACCCAAGTTTAGTACTATTAATTTTAAACGTTCTATATATATATATATATATATATATATATATATATATATATATATATATATATATATATATATATATATATATATATATATATATATATATATATATATATATATATATATATATATATATATATATATATATATATATATATATTAAAAAATGTTTGATATAAACAAATTTCTTTCTTTTCTCTATATTTGTATAAATGAGTTAAAATATGTTAATTTTTTTAAATTATTATTTCTTAAATTTCTTATTAAAAAGATTTTTTATTAAAAATAAAATAATTATGATAATTTATTTACTTTATTTATTAAAAGTTTATTATTTTATTTGCGATTTTGTTAGAAAATGAATTATTTTTTTCCAAACACCATTTATTAAAATTATATTGCTATATATATATCATTTATAAAATTTTGATTTGTATATATCATTTATTAAAATTTTGATTGCGTTTTATTATATTTTTTTATAACTTACGTTATAAAAAAAGTTTAACTTGAAACACGCTTACAAGGAGTTTAATTTTGAGTTTAAAAAAAGGTTGTTTAGGAAGAAAAACCGAAAGAACAATTGTGATCAAAATGACCTAATTTTTTTTTTAAGAATAAATAAAATTTAAATATTGAACAATATTTAGTAACATTTTAAAATAAATTTGACAGTTAAATTAAACCCAAGGATTAACTTTAATTTTAATAAACTCAAATATATGTTTTTAAGAGATCTTCCATAAATTACACAACGTTAAATTATTGTTAAAAAAAAGAAGCTGGAGATCTTAGGCTTTCTTACGTGTCGATTTTCATTAAACTTAATGAGCTATTTCAATTTTTTGTTTAACTTAAATATTCTAAATATTTCAATAAAATAATTAGCTTAATAGAGTTGTTTTTGTGGTTTTTAATTTTATTTGAGTTTTTTTTATTAGTAAATAGCGCTTATATCTAACATAATTGTCATTCAAAGTTTTGTAAGAAACTTTTTTACATAATTGTCATTCAAAAGTAAAAGTGTTTTTTTATAAAAATAAATACTTTTATCTTACTGCTTATAGAATAATTTAAAAGTTAATAAGACCTAAATAGTACGTAAATAGTGGCAGCTTAAAGCTTTAAAATAAGGCCTGATATGTATATATATATATATATATATATATATATATATATATATATATGTGTATATATATATATATATATATATATATATATATATATATATATATATATATATATATATATATATATATATATATATATATATATATATATATATATTCACATATATACTAAATTTATTATGTTTTAAAAAATTCATGTACAAAAGCTTATAACTGTGTCTGATTTTACATTTTAAATGTCAGCCAGATAGAAATAATTTATGACCTCAGTTGGTTACTAATTTCTGCCAATTCAATTTAATCTTTATAATTGTTCCAATATATATTTTTAATTTTTTGATATACTACCGTCATCATCTTGCTTTATACCAAACTTTGTATTTGAACAATATATTTAACAAGATACTTATTCTTCATAAGTTTCCTGTGAGTTCACAAGCTGTTTTCTTGCTATTACGAAAAATTTTATTCAAAAAATTAGGCAATAAAAGTTAAATAATAATTTTTTCTAATAAGAATTATCCTGACAATATTATTAAAAGTTATATGAATTTTTTTTTAGATAGCCAAGGAAAAGAAAAGGTTAGCTTTATTTTGTACCTCATTGATTAAGTAAAGAGCTTTTTATTTTAAACATGTTTTATATATGTTAAAATGTTAAAAAATTTATAAAGTAACAATAAAACCAAGGAGGTTTAATAATTAGGAGACAGCATCATGTTACTTGTGAAGCCACATTTGGCCGTCATCTTGGTTAACCCAAATCAATTTCATTAAACTTAAAATTTCACTGAAAGCTTTATTAAAATTAAATCAAAACATTGTAACAATGTTAGGATAATTAGTCAGTTTATGTTTGGCAGCTTATACTGTTCTATAAAGAGTTATTTGCTTTGTCACATTAGATTGATAATCTACATTAGTTACTCACATTGATTTTTAATGGACGAGCTGTTTTTGAAATAGGTTTGTATAACTGTGTAAAATCTTGTGATTATGTGAAATATTTATGGATTTTATATTTTGCATAAATCTTTAACTAACTTTAACTGAGTCTGTTAAATATTTAATTAAATTAGTGACTTCTTATTTTTGTTTCCACATTCTGACTGAATGGAGGTTTATACTATGTGATTTATCACTTGTGATTTTTGCTTTTATTTAAGGTAATTTGAGGTTGGTGTTTAAGTTTACAATAATAGCCAGTTTTTTAATGTCTCTTTGTAAGGTATGGTAACTACTGTAAGTTTTTACACATGTGTAAAAATTTACAGTAGTTAAGACATTTGCGACTTCCTGTAATTTAATTTTTGGTATAAATTGAAGTTTTATTAATTTGATCATTTATTTCTAATGAGTCTTTATTGACGAAACACAGTGTTAAATGAAATAAAAAATTTGTTAAGTGATTTTCTACTAATTTATAATTGCTCTGTTCTTTTAAGAATATTAAGCACTCTATTTTGTAGAATACATTTTCACAAAAACTGCATTTTACTGCATTCAACTGCAAATTTTAAATTTAGCATTATTTTGTACCTCATTTTGTACCTCTTTTAAATGAATAAATTTGCTTCTACTTTTACATTCTTTGAGTTTTTAATATCAATAATAGTTTTCTATATATTTTTTATGAAGTTGTAATGTTTATAAATAATTGTGCGGATTTTTAGAATTGATAAGCTAAAATATGCAAAAACATGTGAAATGCACTTTTTTTTTACATATTTGAGGAAAAATTGTTATTTGCACGATAACATGTGCGTAATAAATAAGTTTTTGTCAATTGTTTAGCGTTTTTGTGATTCTGATGATTTCTTACATAAATTAGTAATTTTAACTGAAAATATTGGTACCTAAAAATGGGAAAAGCTAAAGATATGAAACCAAAAAATTTCTGCTTTTTTAAAACATTCAAATCACTCCAAAGAAAAATTGCAAATTTAGTTTCTGTGATGACAGTAAGCAGAATTAAAGGTAAACTTGATAAAAAAATACCTGTACAAAGTGCCAGAAGTGGAAAATTTAGTAGACCATGCATCACTAACCCAAAAGATGAATGGGCTATTTGTAACAATTGTGTTAAAAACTGAAGAAAAAGTACTAAAGTTACTAAAATCATACAAGAAGATGGTATCAAGATTTCTAACAACTATAAGGCATCAAATAGCAGAACTGGGGTTTAAATGCTACAGACCTGCTAGAAAACCTTAACTTACGCCAGCAATCAAATTAAAATGTCTCACTTGGCCAAAACGATACCTACATATGTCTGCTGAAGATTGGGAAAATGTAAGTAAATAATTATTTAATTGTTTATTGCATCACTGATTAAAACATTTGAGTATTTATATTATTATTTTTATTTGTTTACAGGTGTGTTTCTCAGATTTTTTTTTTTTAACATCTTCGCTTCCAACAAGGCTGCAAGCAACCACTAATTAGTGTTGGAAGTTACTGGAAGAGAAAAGATGAAGACTGTAGAGCAAGATAACGATTGACAGAAGATTTAAAAGATTGCAAATTATATGAATCAGGAAAGCAAGATGAAGGAAGCGAATTCCAAAGAACTGATGTTCGAGGAAAAAAACTAGACATATAAGAGTTTTTGGAGCACTTATGAACAGTAACAGAAAAAGGGTGAGACTTAATTGAATGACCAGTAACACGAGAATGAATTTTAGTAGATGGCACAAGAGACGCTAGCTCTTTCGAGCAGTGCCCATTATAGTATTTGTAGAAAAAAGAAAGAGAAGCAACATTACGACGATGTGACAGAGGTTGAAGGTTGGCTGCAAGAGTAGGTCCAACTATGTTTACAATGCGTTTTTGCACCTTGTCTAAAAGAGAAAGGGCATCATTAGAAGATCCACCCCAGATATGGCAACAGTATTCCATACAAGTCTGGATTTGAGATTTATAGAGATAGAGAATAGAATCCAGAGTAAGAAAGTGACGAGCTCGATAAAGAGAAGCGACTTTAGCAATTTTGCAACGGATTTGATATAAGGTTTCCAAGAAAGATCAGAAGTAAGAGTTAATCCTAGAAGATGAAGGGTAGGAGACTCATCGAGTACATTACCGTTCATAAATATAGGAAGGTCTAAATTATTGCGATAACGATTGGCCGAAAAAAATTGAGTTTTATCTGAATTAAAGTTCACCAGCCACTGTGAGCCCCATGCTGTAGCAGAAGTGAGATCCTTTTTAAGCTCAGATGCCCCCTGATGAGTTCCAATTTGAAATATTAATGGATATATATAAGTCTTCTTTTGTTAGACGAAGGAAAGACGAAAAATATAATCCAGACTGTGTTGTGGAGACGGTAAAACTCTAAAAGTAATGGTGTGGTCAGTTTAAGTGGTAAGGGCAGTGGTCTTCTTTATATAGTTAAAGGGATGATGAACCAAGATAAATATAAAAAAATATTAGCTACCAAATTAATTCCTCAGTTATATGATTGGTTTCCTGATCCATCTAAATGTATCTTTATGCATGATTTTGCCCCATGCCATAAAGCTAAATTAGTGACAAGATATTATTTATATATATAAGTCAAAAAATGTTACTGTTACCATGGCCTGGCAACTCTCCCGACTATAGCCCAAAAAATGCCAAAAATGCCCAACCAAATATTAAAAACATTTTGTATTATTATTTTTCTTAAATAAATGATAAAAAATAATAATAGTGTTTAAATAAGTTTTTACTTTTTAAAGAAAAATATTTATTTAAGCTAGTTGCACTAATATTTATATAAAAGTTTAACATAATATGTAAAAGAGCTTATAATGGTTAATATTATAATTTATGCAAATGTAACTGGGTCATTCCATATTAAATCATCTAATGGTCCCTGGGTACCACCTCAAATTTGCTTCAAATTTTGACCATTCACAGACCCACAGTATTTATGGAAAAAAAAAAAAACTTAAAATTTCAGCTGGATTAACTGAACTGTTCAAAAGTTATAATTGAATTAATATTGACCAAAATCAGACAAAATAAGAGTGTCTGAAGCTTACAGTAGCTTTTTTTGATTTTTAAAAGATCATAATTTTTTTAAATAAAATAGATGATCACCTGAAATTTTTAAGGGTAAAAGTTTTTCACCCAAGTTATCTATTTTTGAAGATGTTTTTGACTGATTTTAAACAATTATTTAGTTCTTGTACCTCAAAGTTGCTGAATAACGCAATATTAGAAAGAATTTTGGAAAATTTAATGTGTTACAGTTCAATACCAACAGACAAGCTGTGCCAATTTTTTGTTACTTTCGTGTACTTAGAGTAACCACTTGTGGAAAAAATTAAAATTATGTGTCAAAAGTTATTTTAGCACTTGCAGCAGCCTGTTAAAATATACCTTTTTAAAAAAGATATAATAAATAACATTCACTTTGTAGGCATAGAAAAAAGAGTAGACAGTTAAAATAAATTATAAAACTTTTTACTTGCAGGGTTCTATATGTAGAGAATCACCAAAGAAAATTTAAAGACTTATACTCTATCTTATGACATGATTTTATCATTTTGAGTTCAATGCTTTTTTAGTTTAAAAAAATACCTAATAGCACAAGTTATATTATATTTCAAAAAATATATAAATGCTGAAGAAAAAAGTGTATATACACTTGAAACACAAGTACACTAATTTCTTAATCTATTTACACAACTCATAATACTGTCATAATCATTATTAGCATGTTTATAGTCCTGAGTACATCTACTTTTTTGTAAAATTAAGCAACATTTTTTATATAACGTAACAACTTACTATTAATGATTGTTTAGTAAAGAAACAAATATTCTTCGGTTTATCAAAAAGTATATATAATTTTTATTTATATACTTATGTCTTATTTCCAGTGCTGGATTAAGGTGGTGGTGGTGGGTGGGGGAGTAGAAGGGCTAATGCCCCAAGACTCACAATGTTAGGGGCTGTGAAATAGTCAAGAGGGCTATTCAGTATTTGTTTTAGTCATTTTTATGCTGTGGCACATTAAAAAGGTCACCAAAATAATGCAGCCCTCGGCCTTAAAAGTCCAACAAGATTCAACCAATAAAACTAACTCTAGATAATTTATTTATAAATGAAATTTTTTTTTCAATTACTGTTTTATGCTTCGTGTAGTTTGAAAAGTTTAACATATTTGAAACAATTCTTCTTAGTAAGATGAACAAATGAATTAATTAAATCATTGAGTTACTGTAAAAATTTAATTAGCTACATAGAAACTAAAAATATTAAATTACTTTGTAAGGAAAAAGTGGAACTGCTTCACAATACAGCTGATGAGGAAAATGAATTAGTGGTTAAAATTATTTGTATTAACTTTGATGAATATTAATAATTTCATTGAAAACGCAGTTATTATTGAAAGTATTTTTGTTTACAAAATCAATCACACAAATTGCTTTAAAAGGTTACATTTGAATAAAATACATATACATAAAAATTACATACATAAAGTTACATACATAAAAATACATACATAAAAATACATTACATACATGAAAAATACATCCCTTATATATACAAAATAAGAATATAATAATAAAATCTATATATATTTACAAAACATTTACAAATCTATAATATATTTACAAAACGTTGACAAGTTAAGAAATATAAATTTAAAACATTTTGGTAAACAAATAATGTTAGTTTAAAAGTTTATAGCTTTGTAGATGTGGCTCCGAGAATGAACCATTGTATTAAAATAGTTCGTTTGATAGTATATTCTTAAAACAATTTATGCTCGAAATCTCAACAAAAACATAACAAAACTCACATAATACAATTTTTTAAAATATTTCAACAGAATACTCCAGAACATTCGGCTAGTATTTTTTGAACCAATAGAATTAGTTGTTCGTAGATTTAGCAGTTTTTTTGTGTTCGCAAGCAGTAAGCAAAGTTTGTTATATTTACAGGTAAGATCACTTAAAAATAAATAATTTAAAAATAATTATTTAGATCTTCAAATAATCATTTGGATCTTGTTTTAATGTTATAATTCAGTTTCATTATAGCTGTATCAAATGTTTTTATTTAAAATGCTATTCTAAATATTTTAATTTTTTTTAAACTTAGGTTAAAAAAGACTCACAAACATTTGTTTTATCTTTATAAAAAAATGCTCATATTCTGTAAAATATGGAGTCTTTAAATTTTGTGTTTAAATATAACTGAATAGAATCTGTTTATTTCAGTATTCCATATATTTTGGAATGAATCAAGTCAGATAATCATTTAGCAAACATTTCTTTATAGCATAATATAGTATGGACAACTGGCAATTTATTCAATTTTTTCTTACAATGATTTGATTTGAGTTCAGCAAAGTTTTCTTAAAATAAAAATGTGCAAATTTGTTTTATATTAACACAAACCTTATATATCAATAAAATGACCTTATGTAGTTTTTTTAAATGTATTAATACAGCTTTTTGCAATGAAAATATAATATGCATTTAAAAATAAAACATGTTTTAATGTCAGTGTAAATGGAATATAAGTTTCTAATAAAATTAAAATATTTCTTAGGTTTTTTCAATAAATGCACCGTCAATTTAATTAGTTATAAAACATTTGTAATAAAACAAATTCATTTAATATTATTTTTTAATATATAAGTTTATATCGAATGCTGATTTTGTATAAATTAAAAGCTAAAAAATATTTTTAAAACAACAAATTTTTTTGCAGACTAAAAACTAAGCAAAAATAAGTTGAAAATTATTTAACAACAAATGAAACTTTAACTAATAAAACTTTAAATGTTTAAAACTTTTTTCTAATAATTCTTTTTTTCTATTATTTTCTAATATTATGTGATTTGCATTATACTTAAATATCTTTTTTTTATTATTATTACGTATAATTTTTATTATTATTACGTATAATTTTTTTTTTTTTTGACAAAAACATGTTATTATCTAGTTCAAATGTGCAGCATTTTGCACAAAAAAGTCTAGAAGTGTGATGTTTAAACTATTAGTTAGAAATCTGATATATAAGCTATAATTTTATGATTTTTAAGTGTTTATATATTACAAATTTAGTTCTTCTAATTAGGATATCAACATATTTATTGAATGTTTATACAAAGACCTCATCACAAGAAAAGGTTAGTTTTAAAGCACTTCGTTAACCACTGCTCTAGTTTAAAAGTTTTTAGTTGAATTTATCTTTTACTTCAGGTTTTTCCGAATCTTTTTTTTTTATTAGTATAACATGAGATAGAAATAATTAAAAACAAATTAAAAACTACATCTTTTTTCATTTTTGACACTTTTTCTACTGTAAGTAGTTAAAAAAAAGTAGAGGGGGTTCTAAATTTATAAGACTGTTTCTTTTGAGAATTTATTTGATGAAATCTAATTATAAATTATGATTCTATTTAGGTTACTAAAGGCATTTTTTAGGTTATTTATGTTTTATATTACATATGTTACAAATTTTAGGGTATTTATGTTTTATATTACATATGTTACAAATTTTCATTTAAAGTCTCATTGCAAAAGTTTGGCATAAATCTAAATTCAGACAAATTTGTCTCAATAAAATGCATTGTAAGATAATATGTTTAAATTTAGACAATTTGGCAGAATATTGATTTAAGTTGCAAAATTAAATTTAATATAAAAAATACCATCTAAAAATGTTTTATTTTAAAACGAGCCTGCAACAAGCAAGGTTTCATTCTGAAGATAAGTTTTTTGATGTTGTTGATTGGAAAAGATCTTTGGAGTAAAATAGTTAATTATTTAACTGATAATATGAATTTGTGAATTCAGTTTTAACTCTCACCCCACTAGAATTTATTGAAACTGCAAGACATTCCAATATTTTAAACAAAATTATAAAGCTATTAGTTAAGCGTTACAAACTTTCTGGTTGAATGGTTGTCATAAAGTTAAAAATTTAGAAAAGAATGAAACAAGATAATTGCAATTATCTTGTTTCAAAAAGAATGAAACAAGATATTTGCTATTATGCTATTTCCTGCTAAGGGCAGAAGTATTTGAAAACTTGATTTTTACTGATTTTTCTTACAAAGAAAATAAAAAGTTTGGTCCTAATATTTAACACTTAAGCAACAACAAAAACACCTGATCAAAATGTCCATGCCTTAATTATTTTGTAGAATCCAAATGTTACTGACAGAATTGTTTCTTTTTTGCTTAAAGAGGTATCTGTAGTTGGTAACAGGAGTTAATGCCCTTCCTATCAAACCATGCAGAGACTGATCACCTATAAGGCCAGTGATGTATCTAGGCCAATTTTGACATCAGTATACCGATTTGGGTGTCTAAATTTGATCCCAAACTCTAGTATTTAGTTATCGATATAAGTTTAGCATAAGTTCTTTGCATTATAAAAAGCAAAGGGAATTATATAAAATATAGCATAAAAGTGTATATAACATGCTCCATTGTCAAGATAGCGTAAATTGTGATAAATGTGGCGCTTGCATAAAAAAAAGATCCTCAGAATGTCTTCAGGATTTATGTACTATTACCAGTACAGTCCATCCACAGGCATATGAAGAACTTTGTTTTTAAAATGGTGTACCTAAAAAATCTTCTGGATACATCACTGAAAGCAGATAAGAAATAATGCCATCTTGAACTTAAATATAAATCTTTACTTTCATTGTCCATAACACAGTTTAGAAGAACATGCAGTGTTAAAGATATGTGTGGTGTAAATAAAGGCTATACTTTTTAAATAGGTTTTGTAATGTCAAAATATGTCATTTTAGGAGTGGTAAAACCTTTTTTGAAAAATATGTTTTCTTATTGCCATGACCTATTTATATATAAAAAAGTTTCAAGGACTTTTAGATTACTAATGGATAAATTCGAAAAATAACAACTTGGTGGAGCTAATTTTAAATACAAATGCAATATTTAAAAAATGTCACTAATCTATGCTTGTTAGATTATTGAAATTCACTGAGGAAATTATCAACATAATTTAATCACCTTAATTACATCTTAATGAAGACCATATAAGTAAATTTTTCTGATATAATTTGAATTACTTAATTAAAAACTATTATGTATTATGCATATTGTTGATGGTTTTAATGAAAACAAAAATTTTAAAGTCTTAAATCCAAATGATACTTTCTCCAATTGAATAGCTAGAATAAGTTAAAACATGAGGTTTAAAAAAGAAAATTTTTAAAAATTGTTTTTAATGATAAATTTTTTAAATTCAATTTGCACAGATAGGAGACGATTGACCAGACCCTCATTCTACATAATGTCAAAAATAATAATACAAACACATTAGTGCTATTATTTTTATTATGCTAATATTAGGTTAGCCTTTGATTTAGTTGCTAAATTCTTTGGTGAAACTTTAAATGTTCTACAATCATAAAATAGATAGTTTTCATGTCCATGTTAGTAGGTTTTTCACTAGTAGTTTTATGTATGATGTATTTGCAAAAAAGATTTCACTTGGATGGAAGATTCACATTATTAGTTTCCATCTCAAGGAGTATTGTGATATCGGGTGGACACGGAAAAATCCGGTCAACTTTAAATTGAGATTTCTCTAAAACCATAAATGCTTTTTATTTCAATTTTTTTATTATTAAATGTGTTTACATAAATTAGAGTTTCAACTTAATTTTTAGGGCCTTGATGGGTTGCTTGGCAAGAAATCGAACTTTATAGCGGGTTGATGCCATCATTTTACAGATTTTTTCTATTTTCACCATATTGGTGGCATTAATCCACTTTTTTTGGAAGTCCTTTTTATTATTTGTTAGTCCACCTGTCTTACGAAGAACTCCTTTAACTATTGCCCAAAAATCTTCAATCTTGCGCTCTTCAGGACAATTTGGAGGATTCGCATCTTTAGGAACAATTTTCACATTATTATCTTTGCACCACTGTAAAACTTTTTTAGAATAGTGAGAGGCAGCAAGATCGGGCCAAAAGAGACATCGGCATTTGTATTTTTTTATAAAAGACAAAATTCTTTTTTGGAGTCATTCTTTGATGTAGAGATTGGCAGTCAAGGTCTTTATAGTGACAAAACAAGAGGACTGCATACCACAGCTACAAATTGCTTGCCACACAAGGAACTTTGATGCAAATTTTTCTCGTCGAATATATGTAAATTGATCATCAACAGTTGTTGATGTGTTGATCATCAACACAAGTTTTTAAGTACTTTTTTGATATAAGAACGAGAAGTCAAATTCTCTTGCTAGATCTCGCTGTGACTGATTTGGATTTCTTGCTATTGTAACGTAAAATCGACTTTACCTTTTTGGATTTGTGGAAAGTTTTTTTTCTTCCACTTCCAAGTTTTCTTTCGAAGCTTTGAGTAGTCTTGAACTTGTTTATAATATCTATGACTTTAGATTTTGGGACATTTGTGCGTTTAGCAATCAAGCGATAGGAAGTCGATGGATTTTTGCAAAAAAAATTCACAACTTTTTTACGCACCTTAACTTGTTTCCAAAACATTTTGCAAATCATTAATTTGTAAACAAAAATTTATCAACACCATTTAAGATAAGGAAGTAAGGTTTAATTAAAAAAAAAAAATTAAATAAAAAGCATTTGTGGTTTTGGAGAAATCTCAATTTAAAGATGACCGGATTTTTCCGTGTCCACCTGATAAGCAGAAGATCCTGGTCAATGTTACTATCATCTAATAAAAGAAAATGTTTGCTGAGAAAAATGTCCATTGTGGTGTAAAGTTAGAAGCTATGATAATTTAATATAATTCCAAGAAATGAATAAAAGATTTTTAAAATTTTTTTCATTTTGAAAGAAAGTATCTTTTTTGTAACATTTTATCATTTAAAATAAAATTAACATTAAAGTTTGTGGCATTTTAGTTGTCTGAATTTATACATTGATATGTTTGTGGTATTTTAGTTGTCTGAATTTATACATTAATATATGTTTGTGGCATTTTAGTTGTCTGAATTAATACATTGATATATGTTTGTGACATTTTAGTTGTCTGAATTTATACATCTTTTTTGTGCATCACTAGAAACATTAACATATCAAACAGGTTTCTATAAAGCATGGGAAAAGTTGTAACTTTTTTTATGCTACTATTTATTTAAATGATAATAATTTGTAAAAAATCATTACTATTGGAATACAGGAGTAAAAATACCTATAAAAATTACCTAAATAACCTCTTAGTTGAGGTTGAAATTTAAAAAAAAAAAAATTGTCAATTTTAGTTGGATTAAAATTTATAAATAGATTTTCAAATTTCATTAAAATATTTTTTTGGGAAGTAAAAGATATACAAAGTTTAGAATCTTTTTTTTTTTAAATTTTAATCAATTTACAGTTTTAGAAGTAGGGTGCAAAAATTTTAAAAAAATGTGGCAAATGTATGATGTCGTATACTGGGTAGAGTCATTTAAAAAAAAATCTTAAAAAAATAAGTTCAACTAAAAACCTCTAAAAAAAAGCAATGTAAGTCAAGAAGTTTTTTTAAAAATAGTGGTAATTACAAATTTTTTTTATTGTTATAATTAAAATAAAAACCTGAAATTATCATTTCAAATAAATTGATTGTGTAATTTTCTAGTTGGCTTCTTAATCTGTTTATAAGAATATAAACTTTGTATACTTTGACTGCAAAGAAGTTTATATTACAATGTACATAAGTTAACCCTTTCATTTCTGTAAAAACTTTTTAACCCTTTCACTTCCTGTAAAAAAGTATTAAATGGCTGCGCATAAAATGTCATGATCGGTTTAAAGGCAAAAAAACTACTTACAATAATTACAAAAAAACTCCTTACAATATTCTTGGATAACCATGTAAGATTGTGTGAATGCATGAATGTCTTCTTTATAATTGGGATCCAAACTGTTTCCGAATGTTCCTTGAACTACCAAGCAGAACTTTTGCAGGTGTTTTAATAGAGGTAGTAGCTCTACTGGCAAAATATTTTCTAGCTCATCACACTGTTTTAGGATCTGTTTTGAAGTATTTCCTTCATAAGTTCCACCATGATATCCTTTTCTTAAACATTCCAAGCTTGAAACCCACATCTCAAACTTGGGCAACAATTTGGTTAGGAATGATTACATATGATTTACAAGGCCCATCAGTATGTGAAGTTCT